GATTGTTAATAATGTTGTTACGGAAGATATCAAAATAACAAAAGGAACCAGACAGGGATGTCCACTTTCACCATTGTTATTTATAACGGTCCTGGAGGTCCTTCTAAGGGCGATTAGACAAAATAATTTAATAAAAGGGGTGACAGTTGGTCATAATGAATATAAAGTGAAAGCCTTTGCAGATGATCTGGTAATAACAATTGAAGAACCAACAGAAGGTGTGATAGAAGTATTGAAGGAGATGGAGCAATTTGGAATGGTAGCAGGGTTTAGACTAAATAAAAAGAAAACCAAAATAACAGCGAAAAATATGGACCAAAGTATGATTGAATTATTGCAACAAAAACAGAGATAGATGTGGTGAAAAAGGTAAAATATTTGGCTAACTTCCAAAAACATTGACTTATTTCAAAACAATTATATTCCTGTTGGGGTCTTTGTTGATTGTTGGTGCATTTTAAAACTGAAGCCATGTGGGGCCAGGGGGCGGGCGCTGGTTGGGTTGTTATTTTCCTGTGCCTTCCAGGTGGGCGTGCTCTTGCTAAGTTTCCAGTGCTACTGCTTTATATAATAAATGAAAATTAATTAAAAGGAATAAATAAATAATTTTTTAAAATAATCATTGTGCTTAAGTTAACAAACAGGGTACCTGAGCCATTGGTGCTTCAGCTTGTCCCAGGTTCCTTACGTGGGGCAGGTCCCAGCCTCCATTGGGGTGGCATTGTTTTGCAGCAAGGTTTGATTTTGAGGTGGTTTGTGTGCAGCTTTGGCTGTGCGGTTGCAGGGGACTACAGCTTTTGTTTTAAGTTCAGTTCTGAGGTTTGCTACTGCATTTGCTTTTAGCTTTTTGGTTTGCTTTGGAGGTAGTGTGGTGTGGGTACAGTTGTTTGCATCTACTGGCTCCTCAGATCTGTGTAAACTACTTAGCTGAGTTGGTTTTCCTTGTCTGGGTGTTTTGTATCTTAAAGGTTGTCACACTTTAGAAAGCAGGCAGTCTTCTGTCTTGCTGAGTTAGTTTTTAAATCAATTATTTCAGAAGGTCTAGTCCCTATTGTAAAAAAAATGAGTGCTCCAAAGAAGTCCAAAACCTATCATTTTCATAAGGAATGGGAAACTGAGTATTTCTTTGTGATGGTGAAAGAGAAGTGTTGTTGTTTAATTTGTAACGCCTCTGTGTCCTTACCAAAAAAGGGTAACTTGGAACCCCATTATAATGCTTTCCACCGTAGTAAATTTGATGTCGATTTTCCAGTCAAAAGTGGAATTCGTAAACTTAAGCTCGAAGAACTCAAAGCAAAATTAGCTTCTCAGCAGCAATTACTGGTAAAATCCAACTCACATTCTAACAATGCAACCATGTCATCCTTCAACCTGATTGCTAAAAAGTGCAAACCTTTCACAGAAGGGGAGTTTGTAAAAGAGTGTTTTCTTGCAGCAGCTGAACATCTTTTTGAGGGGTTTAAAAATTAAAAAGAGAACATAGCTGCTATCCAAGATCTTCAATTATCAAGAAACGGCCATACAGTGAATGGAAAACATGTGTAAAAATATTGATGAACAGCTGTTGAAAGATGTGTCCAGTTGTGTTGCTTTCTCACTCTAGCTAAACAAATCTACAGACATCAGTGACACAGCTCAGCTACTAGTTTTTATTTGTATGGTTTTTAAATATTACAGTACAAAAGAAGAACTACTTGGGATAGTTTCTTTAAAAGAGAAAACCACCAGTGAAGAAATATTTAATTCCTTCTATTCCTTTATAAACAAGCTTAATGTTCCATTACACAAGCTTGTTGCCATCACTACGGATGAAGCAAAAGCCATGACAGGTCGGGATAATGGATTTATTGCCCTTTTTCGACAACATGGTGATTTCCCCGACTTCCTTGCGCACCACTGTATCATTCACCAGCAAGTTTTGGCAAGCAAGAAACTGAACACAAAGCATGTCATGGACATAGCTTTTAAAACTGTAAATTCAATTCGTGGAAAAGCACTTCAAAGGCGGCTTTTCAATCTCACTCTTGAGGAAGGGCAGCTAGAATTAATTTTACACACAGATGTAAGGTGGCTCAGTAGGCACAAATTTTTGGTAAGATTTCGTAGTTTGTAGGAAGAAATAATATCCTTTTTGAAGGAGAGGGGAGATGAGTACGCTCAGTTAGAAGATGATGAGTGGTTATTTGATCTGGCTTTCCTTGCTGATTTCACAGGTAAACTTAGTGATAGGAAGCTAGAGCTACAAGGTAAAGGTAAATGCATTGGAGAGATGATTATCATAGTTTCATCCTACAAAACAAAATTTAAGCTAATGACGGCTGACTTTACAATCAAAATTTTTGATCACTTTCCTAATATGCAGGACCACCTGGAAAAAAATCCTGACTTTGTTTTTCAAACAGAGAAGTATGTGGCCAAAATTGGTTCTGTTATTCTGTAGTTAAAAAAGATTTGGTGACTTCCAAAAAATTTAATTAATTGTAGAGTACATGTCATTTCCATTCAAATCTGATTTGGACTTTTAAAAAATTGCAGTCATTATCAGTACAAATTACTCATTGTGCAAAATATCTCTTGAAAATGATATATTAACTCTGAAAAATGACATTTTTATGAGGGCCCATGCAGAAGAAGAATAATTTTGGGAGTTTGTGCCTATACAGAAATTTCCAAATTTGAGAAGATGCAGTGAAATTCTACACTCATGTTTCGTTTCTACTCCATGATAATATGACAGCAACAATCATAGATAACAATGGCTCTCAAAGTGAACCACTCACAGTGGGATCAGGTGTAAAACAGGGTTGTGTTATTGCCCCAACTCTATTGATTATTTTCATTGCCATGATCCTACACTTTGTCGAAGGGAAACTCCCCACTGCAGTAGAAATCATATATCGAACAGATGGAAAGCTCTGCAATCTGAGCAGGTAGAAAGCAAAGACTTCTGTCATAGAGCTTCAGTATGCTGATGACAACGTAGTGTGCGCACGCTCAGAGGATGACCTCCAAACTATCCTAAATATCTTTGCAGAAGCTTACAAAAAGCTTGGCGTATCACTCAACATCCAAAAAACCAAAGTGCTGCACTAACAAGTACAAAACAACCCCTCTGCAGCACCACAAATCCAACTCAATGGTGTAACATTGGAAAATGTCGATCACTTTTCCTACCTAGGCAGTTATCTTTCCACAAGGGCCAACATTGATGCCGAAATCCAGCATCGCCTGAGCTCTGTGAGTGCGGCTTTCTCCCTATTGAAGTGCAGAGTGTTTGAGGACCGGGACATTCACAGGGAAACCAAAATGCTTGATTACAAAGCTATTGTACTACCAACCTTACTGTATGCTTGTGAAACATGGGCCACTTATAAAAGCCATCTCCAGCTGCTCGAAAGATTCCATCAATGGTGTCTCTGAAAAATTTTACACATCACTTGGGAAGACAGGAGAACTAATATCAGTGTACTGGAAGAAGCAAAGATCACCAGTGTCAAAGCGATGATTCTTCAACATCAAATTCATTGGACTAGTCATGTTGTGCACATGCCTGATGAATGTCTTCCAAAGCAACTACTCTATTCCAAACTTAAAAATGGAGGTTTAAAGACTGTCTCAAGACAAATCTAAAAAATGTAGTAAAAACACTGACAACTGGGAAACACTGGCCTGCGAGCGCTCCAATTGGAGAACAGCCTTTACCAAAGGTGTCATGGGCTTTGAAGACACTCGAACTCAGGACGCAAGGAAGAAATGTGCTAAGAGGAAGGCACGCTTGGCAAATCCACACCATGATCAGCTCCCACCCAGAAACCTATGTCCCCACTGTGGAAGGATGTGTGGATCCATAATTGGCCTCCACAGTCACTTACAGAGTCATTGTTAAAACCATGTTTATGGAAGACAATCGTACTTGGCTACAAATGATCAACAAAGAAGAAAGAAGAAGACGATGTCCCACATTTACTAAATTTTGGAAGAAAGTGCTGGACTATATAAACAAGACACAGCGGGAAATGTTAAGATGCTCTTGAACTATATACTAGTTCTTTTGGCAACAGGACTGAGGAAATGGATTCTACATGCCCTAATGGTGGCCAAGAGACAGATGAACTGGAAGAATAGCGATACAATTCCCCTTAATCAATGGCTTGAAAACACGACAACATTGGCAATGTATGAACAGACACACACTTTATTTGAATAAATATAATGATATTTTGAATGAGTTTACACATAATAAATTAGTCAAAACAAACAAACAAAAAAATCCTTCCACCTTAGAGACCAACTGAGTTTGTTATTGGTCCCAGCGCCTGCCAACCTAGCAGTTCGAAAGCACCCCCGGGTGCAAGTAGATAAATAGGGACCGCTTACCAGCGGGAAGGCAAACGGCGTTCCGTGTGCTGCGCTGGCTCGCCAGATGCAGCTTGTCATGCTGGCCACGTGACCCGGAAGTGTCTTCGGACAGCGCTGGCCCCCGGCCTATAGAGTGAGATGAGCGCACAACCCTAGAGTCTGGCAAGACTGGCCCGTACGGGCAGGGGTACCTTTACCTTTATACCAATAACAAACCTAGTTGGTCTCTAAGGTTCTACTGGAAGGAATTTTTTGTTTTGTTTTGATTATGGCAGACCAACACGGCTTCCCAGCTGTAACCATAATATATTAGGTTATTGACAGTTATATGTGTATTAGGATAAGAAAAATACAGCCAGATGGGTGGTGTATAAATAATAAATTATTATTATTATTATTATTATTATTATTATTATTATTATTATTAAACAGTATTTTTTCCCCCATTCTCACTCACTTTTTTCTTTATTCCTTTTCCTCACTCTATCTTTTATAAATGAAATTCTTCTTCTAAAAGTGCCAGGTGCGAGTCACTGTGTGTAGTCATGACAGTAGCAAGTCATGACAATAGCAGAGTCCGATATTAAATCTCTGAGATAAAGGGAGGACTGCAACTCTGGGCCTCTTTGTTTTGTCGGCAGGCAGAACACTTGATGAAGCAGATTGGGGTGGAAGGAGTGAAGCTGGCAGAGCATGAGATGATCATTGCCGCTCACCTGGTGGTTCCAAAGGATATCAAGGTAGGTGGCCAGGCTGCTGCTCCTCTTGACAAAACACAAGAGAGTTTTGAGGCTCTCTAATCTGCTGAAGAAAAACGGAGAGGGGAAAAAAGGTTGCACATATCTTAGTTCTGAAATGAGATTGTGTGGGTTCACACCAGAATTAGTAATTCAGATCTGGAACTTTAGCACTTTGCAGCACATGGTGGGTTGGGACCCACTCTCAGGTCATGACCTGATCTAAGATGGGTCACAACAGCAGCACAACCACCAGTCCAAATACCACTCTACAAATGGCAAACAATTAAGATATGGGCCCCATATGTCTGTTTGGGTCAGTTCTTTAAAAAGGATGAAAATTGCTGATGTAGACAACCCTTTAAACCAAGAATAAATAGAAAAGGTCCCTACCCCAAAGAGCTTAGTCTGAATGGTTATAATGGAGGAAAAACAGTGACAGAATGAATAGAAAAGCCAAGGATAACAGGAAAATAGTGCAGTTGCATTTAGATTCAAATTTCTAACCTTTGTTAGTCCCTTTGTTATCTGCCAACTGCTCACAGCTTGTCCCACCTACAGGTAACTTGGAAGGACATTGCAGGCCTGGATGAGATGGTCAGCGAACTCCAGGACACTGTGATCCTCCCATTCCAGCGGCGACACTTGTTGCAGCACTCCAGGCTCTGCCAGCCCCCAAGAGGTATTACTTTGGAACAAGGGGCAATTTACTAGTTACTCAATATCATTTTTGAGACTTAAGGAAAGTGTTACCTTCCTTTTAAAATCTGCATTATTTAGCCAAACCCTACATATCAAATAAGTTATTATGGTCAGAGGGTAGTTTGCTACCTGTTGTCCACTTAAGAAACTTGCTGGGTATGTACAAGTGACTCCCCATTTGCCCAGGGGTTCTGTTCTGCCATTCCTTCATCTCCTGCAAGCCGGGGGGTGGGGGTGGAGCTTCCACAGCTGACAGACGCAGGGAGGGATGGCGGGGCTCGGCTAAGAGCTGCTCCGCGTTTCCAGGGACCACTTCTGGGGACCTGGCACCACACATGCACACAAACAGAACGTACATCAACGCGGAATTGCCTCAGTCAGCTGGGCAGCAGCAAGAGCAGCATTAGGTATTAAACATTCATACTTCCATTAGCATTTTTCCGTCGACAACAAAAACAACATTTTCCCCAGCTTGAAAGCGTTATTCCAACAGAATTGAATTAAATGCTCTACTCAGTTTAAATTTAACAAATCCCTCCAAATCAAAGCTACTTTAATTAAAGTTCCCATTAGTGCACACATTCACAGTCAATTACACTAATAGGTGGACTAAATTGCCTCTAAGGTACCTTACAACTCTAAGTCTCATGTGATTCTGTTTTTTAAAAAGACTGCCCACCACACTCCAATATTCCTCCTTCAAATTGTGTCAGTCAGCACTCCAAATAAAATGACATTCTGGATATCCTGAGCCAAAAGCTGTAAGGGGTGAGAGTGCTCAGCAAGAATGACAGAAACACGATGCCTCTGTTTCTGCTGCTTGTCTGAGATGGTGAAACAGAGGATTGTATCCAATGCTCGTCCTACTCAGAGAAGACCAACTGAATATAATGAAGAGTAAATTATGTCCATCATTTTCAATGGGTGCACTCTGAGTAGAACTTATATGGACACACCTCTGAGACACTGGCAAACTACAGTACATAAAAGGATGGGGGGGCTGAATTTTTCTTGGTGGGTCACAAGTTGTGCCCATTGTCCCTTTCCTAAAATGGTTACTGTAGTTAGAATATGAGTTGTTGATTGGGAAGTCGATTGGGAAGGACTATAATTCGAACATCAAAACAAGTGATTTCCCCCCTTGGCAGCAGGAGAGGAGGGGGGAAAGGATTGAACTGTATTTTCCTGCAAAAAAGAGGGAAGGAAATAAAAATCCACCGCTTAAAACCTGGGAACGGGCTGCCAATGGACGATAAGACTGCCGCTTTGTGAAATGCGCTTTTTGTGAATAGAGTACTTTTTGACAGCTAATTCTGCAAGAGAGATACATTGTTCCCGGCTGGCTTCTCCTGATTTTAAAGTGACTGAAAGTAACTGAATTTGAAACTGTTGCTTATTTTGTGAAATGGGGGTTTTAAAAAGAGTTATTTTTTAATGCAACAAGTCTTGACTGTTACTGTGTCCCCCTAGAGGAAGTTTGAAATTGTTACAACAACTGAGCCAGGGGAATTTTCCACTTCAAAACAAACTCTAAACATGGGATTTACCTTGGGCTGCAGTTAGAGTGTTATGGCAGATGGGAAAGAAAAGATAGATTTGCTTCAAGAAAAAACAACGAGGTCTGGTAAATCCTGGCAGTGAAGAGCATCAACATCTGGCCCTTCTGCTCCATTAGCAGCAGCATCTGTACAACCTAAGTCAAAAGTAATGGCTTCTGAAGATGTTTTAGCACTTGCACTAGGAAGAATAAATGAATCTTTGGAAAAGTTAAGTAAACAAGTAGCTGAAGCATCAACTAAAATTGATCAAAACACCACAAGTATTAATAATCTGGGACAGAAGGTGAATACTAACACAGAAACTATTGAGAAATTGCTACAGGAATCTACCTTGACCCGACAGACAGCTGAAGAAGCTAAGGAAAAAGCAGTTTCTGTAGAGGAGAAGATACCACCTATAGAAAGACAATTAGAGGACCACAGGTCGATGTTGTCTATGATTTAATTGAAAGAGAAACAAACGAATCTGAGGATCAGGGCTGTGCCTGAACTTGAGAAAGACAACCTGATTGACTTCCTTACGCAGGAATTTGCAGACTTTTGGAAACCAGATTTGGAGAAGGAAGAATTTAAGATAGTGAGTGCATTTAGGCTTGGAAGAGGGGGGAAGAACAGGGTGAGAGACTGTTTGATTACCCTCCAAACAAAAGAGGAGAGAGACAAAATATTGAGTCTGCATTTCCAGAAGACCTTGGAAATACATCAGTCAAGTGTGGAGATATTTAAAGACATCCCGAAATATCTCTTGGACCTTAGATCTAACTACAGAGATTTGGTTGCCCTGTTGAGAAGCAACAGAATTCTTTTCAGGTGGGAATTTCCCCAAGGCCTATCTTTTAGTTTTAAAGGAAGAAAGATAAAAATAAGATCAGTGGCTGACAAAGAAAGATTTTTGAAAGATCACGAAGAAGATTTGCAGAAAGAATCTGGAGAAGAGCCAGGAGCACTAGAAAGAGGAATACTAGACAAAGCAATACTACCTTTTGAATTGGACTACACAAAGAAAGTGACACCATCGACAGAAGAAGAACAAGCACTTGGTGCAGTTGGAGGAAAAGCAAAGTAACTATATCATGGCGCTGCAACTATTAAGTTGGAATACTAATGGTCTGAACTCCCCTCAGAAAAGGAAAATAATTTTTCATTTATTAAAAAAGGAACAATTGGACTTGATTTGCTTACAGGAAACACATGTGATAAGGCTACATAGAAAAGTATTGATTAACAAAAGACTGGGCCAAGAGTTTATCTCATCGGACAAAGTTAAAAAAAGAGGAGTAGTGATTTATGCAAAGGAGAGTTTATCACCGAAATTTATCTTTAAAGATGACCAAGGAAGATTTGTGGCAATTGAAATTCAAATACAAGGAGAGAAATTTTTGATAGTAGGAGTTTGTGCACCAAATGAGGGGAAATCTGAATTTTTTAAAAAGTTGCATGAGACCTTGAAGGACTATTTGGATTATAATGTGATTTTGATGGGGGATATGAATGGAGTGGTATCTACAAATATGGACAAGGCACAAAGACAGGTAGTCACTAAGGACGGTAGACTACCAAAAACCTTTTTTGAGATGACAGACAACTTGGATTTAGTCGATATTTGGAGAACAAAGAACATCTTGGGAAGAGAGGGAACCTTCTTCTCTGAAGCCAAAATGACATGGACAAGAATTGACCAAATATGGATAACTAGAGGAATGGCACCAAAGACAAGAAAAGTGGAAATTTGTCCAAAAACCTGCTCCGACCATAATGCCGTGAAGATGGAGATGAAACTAACACCAACTGGCTCTTTTAGATGGAGGATGAATGACACCTTATTTAGAGATGAAGAAGTGATTAAGAAGGCCCAAAAAACCTTGAGAGACTATTTTGAGATAAATATGAACACTACTGTTGAAAAAAGAGTAATCTGGGACGCAAGTAAAGCGGTTATGAGAGGGTTTCTGATACAACAGAATGCAATAAAGAAGAGAACCCAAAATGAGAAGAAAGATAAAATTTTGGAGAAAATAAAAGAAGGTGAGAAGAAATTGAGAGCAAAACCAAAGTCGCAAGAGATTTTGAGAGAAATAAAGTTATATCAAGTACAATACATGAAAATGATGAATCAGGAAATAGAATGGAAAATTAAACAAATGAGACAAAAAACATTTGAGTCAGCTAATAAATGTGGGAAATTGTTGGCCTGGCAAATGAAAAAAAGACAAAAACTAAACACTATTACAAATCTAGAAGTGGAAGGAAAGAACATACAGAACCCAGTTGAGATTAGAAACTGTTTCCAGAGGTACTTTAAACAATTATATACACAAGGGCCACAGAAAGAACTTGATATAGATCGATTTTTGAAAATAAATGGATTACAAAAAATCTCTCAAGAAAATAAATTAATGTTGAATTATAAAATAACTGAACAGGACGTAGAAGGTGCCATTCAGAATATGCAATTAGGTAAATCTCCAGGACCAGATGGACTGACTTCTAGATATTACAGATTTTTAAAGGAATGGTTAGTACAACCTTTAAAGGAAGTCTGTAATGAAATATTGGAAGGGAAAAGGGCACCAGAGTCGTGGAAGGAAGCGTACATCACACTTATACCGAAAACAGAGACTGAAAAGACGCAGCTCAAGAACTACAGCCCCATATCATTGCTGAATGTGGATTATAAAATCTTTGCAGATATTTTGGCAACAAGACTAAAAAAAGTGCTAGTGGAAGAGATTCATAAAGATCAAGCAGGCTTTCTCTCGGGTAGACACTTGTCTGATAATATGAGAAACATAATTAATATCTTAGAAAAACTACAAGTGAATATCAATACTAAGGCAGTTTTGATATTTGTGGACGCGGAGAAAGCCTTTGACAATATTTCTTGGAGTTTTATGAAGAAGAATCTACAGGGGATGGGGGTAGGTCAAGGTTTTGGAAATGGTATAAGTGCAATTTATTCTGAACAAAAGGCCAAACTAATTGTTAACAATGTGGTGACGGAGGAATTTAAGATAGAAAAAGGGACACGACAAGGTTGCCCAATCTCTCCATTGCTTTTTATATCGGTCCTGGAGGTCCTGTTGAATATGATCAGAAGGGACCAATTGGTTAAAGGTATACAAGTCGGAGCTAAACAGTACAAATTGAGAGCATTTGCAGATGACTTAGTATTGACATTACAGGAGCCAGAATCTAGTACTAAAAGAGTTTTGGAACTGATTCAAGAATTTGGTCAGGTTGCAGGATTTAAACTGAATAAGTTAAAAACAAAGGTTTTAGAGAAAAATTTAACAGCGATTGAGAGAGAGAGGTTTCAGAACAAGACAGGCTTAACAGTGGTTAAGAAAGTGAAATACCTGGGGATTAATATGACAGCTAAAAATGGGAATTTATTTAAAGACAATTATGAAAAATGCTGGACGGAAGTGAAAAAAGATTTAGAAATTTGGTCAAATTTGCTTTCACTGCTAGGCCGCATAGCTGCGATAAAAATGAATGTATTACCTAGAATGTTGTTTTTGTTCCAAACATTGCAAATTTTGGATAAAATGGATTGTTTCAAGAAGTGGCAGAGAGACATTTCTAGATTTGTCTGGCAGGGCAAAAAGCCTAGAATAAAATTTAAAATACTAACGGACGCAAATGAAAGAGGTGGATTTGCCCTGCCAGACTTAAAACTTTATTATGAATCAGCAGCTTTTTGCTGGCTGAAAGAATGGCTGCTTCTTGAAAACACAGACATTTTGGATCTAGAAGGTTTTAATAATGTATTTGGATGGCATGCATATCTGTGGTATGACAAGGTCAAAGCACATAAAGCATTTAAAAACCATATAGTCAGGAAAGCATTGTTTAATGTCTGGATAAGATATAAGGATCTACTTGAAAATAAAACTCCAAGGTGGTTGTCACCGATGGAAGCGAAGGCACAGAAAAAGCTCAATATGGAGGCCAAATGGCCGAAATATTGGGAAATTTTGGAACAAGAGGGAGAAAAATTGAAATTGCAGAGTTTTGAAAAAATAAAAAATAAAGTGCGAGATTGGCTTCATTATTATCAGATAATGGAGGCATATAATTTGGACAAGAAAATTGGTTTCCAGGTGGAAAAATCAAAATTGGAAACAGAACTGTTAGATCCCAAAACCAAGATTTTGTCAAAGATGTATAACTTGCTGTTGAAATGGAATACCCAGGATGAAACGGTGAAATCTGTTATGATTAAATGGGCAAAAGATGTTGGACATAATATTATGATGGCTGACTGGGAACAGTTATGGACCACTGGTATGAAATTTACGGCATGTAATGCCTTAAGAGAGAATATTATGAAAATGATATACAGGTGGTACATAACTCCAGTCAAGCTTGCAAAAATCTATCATTTGCCCGATAATAAATGTTGGAAATGTAAAGAGACTGAAGGTACATTCTTTCACCTTTGGTGGACATGCCCAAAGATTAAGGCTTTCTGGGAGATGATCTATAACGAAATGAAAAAGGTATTTATACCTTCCTGAAGAAACCAGAGGCCTTTCTCCTGGGCATGGTCGGCCAATTGGTGCCAAAGAAGGATAGAACTTTCTTTATGTATGCTACAACAGCAGCAAGAATACTTATTGCAAAGTATTGGAAGACACAAGATTTACCCACTCTGGAAGAATGGCAGATGAAGGTGATGGACTATATGGAACTGGTGGAAATGACTGGCAGAATCTGAGACCAGGGAGAAGAGTCGGTGGAAGAAGATTGGAAGAAATTTAAAGACTATTTACAGAAACACTGCAAAATTAATGAATGTTAGAATGATGTTGGATTGAAGTTAAGGGGTTTTAGTAGCAATGTTATAAAGGAATATATAAAATGGTTTGTTAACAGGTGATAATATAAAGCTATAATATATTAAGATAAAAGATTAAGATAAAATCAAAGAGGGAAAGGATTTGCTGAACTAACTAATTGAACTGGAATACAAAAAAGGGAGGTGTGAGGAGGTCAGGGAAACAAGCAAATGAAAGATAAGATTTGGAAAAACTGATTTGTTTTTAACTGTTTTTACTTTGTATTTTCTTTCCCCCCCTTTTTTTGTAAAATGTTGAAATTTTAATAAATATCTTTTTTAAAAAAAAAAAAGAATATGAGTTGTTGGTGCAGTGCACATGGGCACAAATGTGCCTGCAGAGGTTTCCCTGAAGCCTGCAGGGTCCCTTTCCTTGCAATGCTGGAGTTCGGCTTGAAAGAAGCATTCTGTTATAGACAATAGAAGCCTTTTTCCAAGGGGGGTGTCAACTCTCCCTTCTCCTGTTCTGAAACGCCCACCTCACAAAACAGATTTTGGCACCTGAGACAAACCACTAAATAGTGTCCCCCTCCCTGCTAGGGAAGAAAGGGTGAATGAAGATCTACATTGGGATCTGCTGCCCTGAGATGGTCACCTCACCTTGCCTGATGGGAGGGTCAAGCCTAATTGTTGTGTGTGGAGCGAGAGATCTTCCTGGAGATGGCAGCCGGGGAGGAATGCTTATCTTTTGCCTCCCCAGCTGCCCTCTGCAAGAAGACCACTCTCTAACTAGGCTGGGGTGGGGTGGGGAGAGAAGCACATTTTCCAAGCCTAATGGTTGGGGGAGTGTGCAAGTATTTGCTGTGTAGACATATGCGTGTGGCTTGTGTGCATGATTGTGGTATGTACAATGCCCACAAGTTTCTCTGATCTGCACATCTGCCCATGAGCCCCAGAGGGCTGGCAATCTTTGAATTAGAAAATTGTTGATGGGTTTTTCCTTGCTACCAGGTGTCTTACTTTATGGCCCTCCGGGTTGTGGGAAAACCCTTCTTGCCAAAGCAACAGCCCAGGCTTCAGGATGCAGGTTCATCAACCTGCAAGCATCTACGCTGACGGACAAATGGTATGGAGAGTCACAGAAGCTCACAGCTGCCGTCTTCTCACTGGCAACCAAGCTTCAGCCCTGCATCATTTTCATAGATGAAATAGGTAATGTTTGTATCCCTTCCTCCCATATCCCAACATCAGCGTCCTCTGCCATGGTTGCCTCTCCTTACTCTTAAGTCACTCCTAGATCTCTTTTTCACTCTCAGTCTCCCAGCCAATTCCTCCTTCCCTTCCTTTCTTGAACATATAAAGGTAAGAATTGCTCTGTCATATCAGGCTAAAGAGCCACCTGGGCCAGTGTTCTGTTTCTTCTAACAACCACTGGTTAGATTGCTCTAATAATGCTCAAACATCCTGCAAAGGTAAGGAAAAGGAGTAAAAGACCCTCTTGCTCCTTCTCTACCCAGTCAGTCACTGTGCTCTGCAGGTGAGGGCCTCCTGCAGATACCACCTTCTCCAGTGGTTCAGACTGCAGAATATAGGAATCAGGCCTCTAGTGTTGCGGCTCCTACCCTTTGGAATTCCCTCCTGTTCAATATTAGGCACAGACTACCCATGTTTTCAATGCCTACTGAAGACTACACTTGATTTTAGTCAAAAGGCCAAGAAGCTGTAGATTGTATGAAGCTTATCTTACTACACTGCGGGCTGTATAAACAAGCCAGGGATCAATTAATTAAAATGTTAATGGCAAATTTACCTGGGAATTCTGAAACCTACTATCAAGTATCTTCTCAAAGATATGACAAATTATTACCCTGGCTGTGGCAAAATTTCCCTCAGAGGTAATAAGAATTAGAAATAAACATGCTGCGGATAAAACACAGTGACTCTCCTGGAATATTTTCTATGTATTCCTGCTTTAAGAGCTGTTTCTGCAGGTCTCTGGACTGTAATAAAGAATGTGCTTGCCTACTGTGTGCCTACTAAAGACCCTGCTCTTTCACAAGCCTTTTAAGTAGAACTCTTTCCCAGTCTACGTCTGTAATGGAATTATTTTTAGATTCTTTATTTTATCCTTTGTGTGTTTGGAACCCTGGGCTCCTTTGGGAGGAAAAGAGATATATAAATGAGCAGATTAATCTTTAAAGTGTTGCAACATTGCTGTTTTTGCTACAGCAGGCTAAGGCTGCAATGATATACCCACTTTTCTTAGAGTTAACAGCATTGAATTCAGTAGGACTTCTGAATTCTGAGTAGACATACTTATATAGGATTGCACTGTACAATCTATTTTTTATAAAACAATTTTTATTGGTTTTTACAAATATTTTCTTGCATGACACTATATTTTGCACAAATAAAACATTTGGCTTAATGAGCCTGTGATTTCCCTCCTCCCCGACAACTGGTTTTCAAATTTAATCTCAATATACTGCATTTTCCTGTATTTCTTCTTGTTATTAAATTATATCCTTTTAAAATTACTTAATTAACTGTATTTAACAATAAATGATAATTTCATCCTTACAGAATTTCTTATAACCCTACTAGCGATGTTAACTGTTTACAGTTGTCTTCCAAATATATCATAAATTTCTTCCAATCTTTCTGAAATGCCTGGTCCTGCTGATTCTGGATTTCCCCCGTCAGCTTTGCCATTTCTGCAAAGTCTAATAGCTTCATCTGCCACTCTTCTTTCATCGGTAACTCTTCTTGCTTCCATCTTTGGGCTACTAATATTCTTGCTGCGGCTGTTGCATATAAAAATAATATTTTATCCTGCTTGTGTATTTCCCTATCTACTACACCTAATAGAAAAACTTATGCTTTTATATATATATATATGTATGTATGTATATTTCAATATTTTAAAAAGTTCATTATATATCATTTCCCAGAAAGCTTTCACCTTCTTACATACCCACCACATATGATAAAAATTTCCCTCTTTTTCTTTACATTTCCAACATAAATTATTTGTTCTATACATTTTTGCTAATTTCCCTGGTGTTAGGTACCATCTACACATAATTTCATTTAATGAGCTACACATAATTTTCATTTAATGAGCTATTTTAATGAGCTACAAGCAGTTAAATTTATTTCATCTTTCAACAATCTTACCCAATCTTCTAGTATTATATTATGCCCAATATATAATGTATCATTAGTGTATCATCAATGTGTATCACCAATATATAATGTATCATTACAGATTTTCTTCATCTTTTGTATGCCATTCCAACAGTAACTTACACATTTTTTACAATATTTTTATTTTATTGCTTAATAAATCTATTTCAAATCTAGATCTTATAGCTTCAAATCCATTTTTATTTTTATCTTCTCTAAACACTTCATTTATTTGACAATAATGCAACCAATTGTTTACTAACTCTTTTATCTCCTCAAAGGGTTTCAATTTCCATCGATTGTCTGTTTCTATTAACAAATCTCCATAGGTGGCCCACTTATCCTCCATATTTAACTTTTTAACAGTCGTCGCTTCTAGCGTTAAAAGCCACCAAGTTGTTTTCCGTTCTAATAAATTCTTGTATCTATTCCAAACCTCATAGATTGATTTTTCGGATTACAGTATGTGGTTCAGAAAACCTTTAACTTTTTCATACCATAAGTATGCATGCCACCCAAATCTGTTATCAAATCCTTCCAAATCTAATAAATCTGTATTTTTAGCAATATCCAATCTCTTATCCAACAAAGACAAGAAGCTTCATAATATAATTTCAAATCTGGTAGGGAGAAACCCCCTCTCTCTTTGGCATCTGTAAGTATCTTATTCTTTATTCTTGGTTTCTTCCCTTGCCAGACAAATTTTGTTATTATTTTTTGCCATTCCTTAAAAATACTTACACCACTTATAATTGGTATTGACTAAAATAAAAATATCATTTTGGGTAGCACATTCATTTTAATCGCTGATAAATTAATTCTTCCCCACACTTCTAAATCTCTTTTGATTCCATTCCAAACCGGTGTGTAATTGTCTTTAAATAAATTTATATTTTTAGATTTAGATGTTAACCCATGGGTAGGCAAACTAAGGCCCGGGGGCTGAATCTGGCCCAGTCGCCTTCTAAGTCCGGCCCAGGAACGGTCCAAGTAGAGTAGAATGTGTCCTTTTATTTAAAATGCATCTCGGGGTTATTTGTGGGGTATAAGAATTCCTTCATTATTATTTTTTCCCCAAAATATAGTCCAGCCCCCCACAAAGTCTGAGGGACAGTGGACCGGCCCCCTGCTGAAAAAGTTTGCTGACTCCTGTTCTAGATTGTACAGTGCTGACCCCTGACTAAGACAACAGGCATATCTATATATATCTCCATTATTGTGCTATGTTACTATTCTGTTAGCAGAAGGATTTCCACATTCACAAGAAAGCTGACAATCACATCTCCGATACTAAAATGTATGCGGTGCCATCTCTGTCACTGAATGAAGAAGGGTGTTGAAGGAGCTGAATGCAGGCAATGACCGATTAATGTACATTCAGAGGGCACCAGTGACCTGAAAACATCACTCAACATGTCACAAAAATATAGTCCAGCCCCCCACAAAGTCTGAGGGACTTTGAGGGACCTGCTGAAAAAGTTTGCTGACCCCTGTGTTAACCAGACTCCAAAATATTTTACCTTTTTTACCAGCTCTATACCTATTTTGAAGACAGGAGTGCCTGGCATGCTCTGGTCCATGGGGTCACGAAGTGTCGGACACGACTAAACAACAACAAACCTATTTTGCATTGCAGTTTGTATTTCACATGTTCTTCCATATTTTTAACAAGCATTTTGTTTTCTTTTTGTTTAATTTAAATCCTTGTCCAAATTGTTCTATTCGCTCCTACTTCTACCAGAAGCACTACTATCCAGCTCTTCTACTGCACTAGATAACGGTTCTACTATTATAACTAGATCATCTGCAAAGGCTTTTAATTTATATTCTTTTCGACCAATATTAATTCCTTTTATCTTTTCACTTGTTTTCATATTTCTCAACAAAACTTCCAGGACAGTTATAAACAATAACAGTGAAAGAGGGCAACCTTGTCTAGTACATTATGTTTCATCTGTCATCCAGAAAGAAAGCCTGCTTGGTCTTTATGTATCATACATTTTAGAACTCCATTCAATTTGCTACGATGCTTGCAAACATCTTATAATCATTATTTAACAGTGAGATAGACCTATAATTTTTAACCTGGGTTAAGTCTGCCTCCTGCTTAGGTATCAACACGATAAATGCTTCTTTCCATGTACCTAGGATATCTCCCTTTTCAAAGATATTGTTCATCAGATCCATCAAAGGTGTCAATATAATTTGACTTAATTTTTTATAATATTTTGCCGTGAATCCATCTGGTCCTGGTGCCTTTCCTATTTTAAGTCCATCATGCTGCTTGTATCTTGTATGTTATTGGTTGATTCAGTCATACTTTTTTCTCTATCGGAAACTCCCGCAGGGCTCCCTAGGCTGCGGATATCTGCCCGAAGTGCGGGGCGCTCTGCTTCAGTGTGCCCCGTGCTCCGTGCAACAGGCTGCTATCCGCAGCCTAGGCAGCCCTGCGGGAACTCCTGCGAGCTCCCCAGGCTTGCTGATAGCTTACTGAAGCCTGGAGAGCGAGAGGGGTCGGTATGCACCAACCCCTCTCGCTCTTCAGTGAAAGCCTGCATTCGCTCCATAGGACGCACACAGATTTCCCCTTCATTTTTGGAGGGGAAAAAGTGCGTCCTATAGGGCGAAAAATATGGTAATTCAAAGGGGTCTTCTCCCCCCCCCCAAATAGAATAAGTCTTTAAGTGTCAGATAGGCAGGACGTCCGTATTAAATCCCAATACGATCAGGACCCGCTGTAGGGAAATTTATACAAACGTTACACTTTGGAAGTAAAGTCATTCACTTTAAAGTCTCTCTGAGCTCCTTATTTTCACCTCACTACTTTGCTGAATCTTCCACTAATTTAGTCCACTACTTTCACTCTTCATTCAATTTTAGATTCAATTATAAATATCATGGAAAATCTGTCACTCTGTCCCATAGGAGCCTGAGGCTTCGTTTCAGAGTTAGAAGATGACTCCTTAGTGCTTGCATCTCAATCTCACCAGTCTTCTCCACTCCTTTAAGGAGCGATTCGGACGGTGGAGAGAACGCTCCTGAGCGCAGCTGGGTACCCAACACCTGAAACAAAGCTTTCGGGGTTGTTAGGAGTCCACAGCACCTTTGCGTGACCCCAATTTCTCTACGAAAGTGTCTTTAAGTGTCTCCGGACTTTCCCCGGAGACCTAAATCCACTCTCCTTCTTGGTCTGCAACAGACCGGAAGTCTGCGCTGTACAGTCTAGAACAGGGGTCAACTTTTTCAGCAGGGGGCCGGTCCACTGTCCCTCAGACCTTGTGGGGGGCCGGAATATATTTCGGGGGTGGTGGTGAATGAATTCCTAGGCCCCACAAATAACCCAGAGATGCATTTTAAACACATTCTACTCATGTAAAAATACACGGGCCGAATTTAGAAGGTGATTGGGCCGGATCCAGCCCTCGGGCTAGTTTGCCTACCCGTGATCTAGAAGGAGGAAGGGGTGTAGCTCAGTGGTAGGAGGCTGTGATTTTTCTAGCACAAACACTTCTTCTAAATAAATGTACCCAATGTAGCTAAAACCAGCAGATACCACTGCTTGTAAACCTCAGATTTCATCAGGCTTTAGGAAAACTCATCAATGGTTCCAAGTCTCCTGCTTACATAGTTGGGGCAACTGATGGTGTAAGGAAGCAAGATACCCATTGAAGCAGAAGACAAAAACAAGACAGAAACCTGTATCTCCCATCTCCTTAATTGCAACTGGAAATATTAGCAAGAACTCCTGAAAAACTATCAAAATGTCCACCAAATGCTAAGGATTAATATGGGCTGCAGCAGTGAACAAGGGCTGCTTATTGCTCACCTCTCCAGATTCGCATCCATACTTGATCACCCAGTTGTACATCTCTTAAACATGCCAGTCTTTGCCACTTTCCTTATGGTGAAGTATGTTGGTTACTAGGTATGGAAACTGGTCAGAATGGAGGCTGGTGAATATTGGTGTAATGGCTGTTGATTTCACAAAAGCACTAATCACTCCCCTAAACCAGGACAGAGTGGGCTTCCTCTCTGTGGTTCCTAGAAGGAAGAGGGATTGGGGCGATTCTGCCCAAGATTAAAGGTGGCATAAGGACGTAAGAAGAGCCCTTCTTGTTCAGGCCAAAGGCTCATCTGTTCCAGCGCTCTGTTCTCACAGTGGTTCACCAGATGCCCATGTGAGGCCTGCATGTGGATTCTGAGTGCAACACACCCGCCCCACCTGCAGTTCCTAGCAGCTAGTATTTTAAGACATATTGCAGCAGAGGTACAGCATAGCCATCATACCTAGCAGCCACTGGTAGCAGGTTCCTGATTCAATTGACCATGTTCTTCTCCCTCTTGCTCTTGCCAGCAACCATTCATAAGAGGGCAGAGAGATCTGCAAACATGTAGGACCTTCCAAATGAAATCACTGATGGCCTAGAAAGAACCAGAATTCCACTGCATTTCAGCATTCTTTATAATATGAATGAAAATCTTGCCAATGATATCAATTTAAGAGATGGGTGTCAAAACAGACACCAGCACAGGGAAAGGACAGAAGCCCAGTCCTTTTGCTAAACTGTTCTTTTTCTCCCTCCTGTCAGATGCCTTCTTGAGGAACCGCTCCGAAGCTGACCATGAAGCCACTGCCATGATGAAAGCAGAGTTTATGAGCCTTTGGGATGGTCTGGAGACTGGAACCAATTGCCAGGTACCACCACCTAGGTCAGTTGATGCAAAAAAGCCAGGGGCAACCAGTGCTCCTTCCCTCCTGTTATACATTTGCCTCTTCTAAGGTGATGCCTGCTCCATGCATGGGTCACCTAAAAAGTATGCTTTCTTATTTTAAAAAAAGAGTACAGGTGTTCCTTCCACTTACACTGGGGTTACATTCTGGGCCCCTGTGTGCATAAGCAAAAATTGCATAAGTGGGGAACACCCTTAAACACCCTTTAAACACCCTCTCTGCCACACTCTCTCCAATCCAGACAAAAAAGACTGTATCTAAAAATAGCCACAACTAGAGTTGAAGCTCGGAGCCTGGAGGATGCAGGGGAAAGTGGTGGCTGCAGTGGCTGCTGTGCTACCCCGCATGTCAGCTGCTAGCCACAGAGGCTGAGCAGCCTAAACAAAGCCGCACTGCACCTCCGGTCCCTTTGGGGCTTCCCCCACCCTCACTGAAGTCCTCTTCAGGCTCTGAGGGGAGACTTCTTACAAGTCACGAAGACTCTCCAGCTCTCTCTGGCCATTTCCAGGTTTGAATCAAATTACTTATTTCTTTATTTGGGGGCACCGTGTGAATACATGTTTGCACATGAGTCAATCACGGGCAAGTGGGGGACACCTGCAGTAAGTTTAACTTGAAGTAGACCCACTGAAATAAATGGACCTGTGACTTAACCTCAATAGGTCTACTCTGAGTATGAGTAACATTGTTTTATTCATATAGTTTTATTCATATGCTATCATACGCAAATTTAACTGATCAGTTAAAACACAAGGTCAATCAATGACCATCACGGTCCAATTGTGTTTCAGGTAATGGTGCTAGGAGCAACCAACAGACCACAAGATGTAGATCCAGCCATCCTGAGGAGAATGCCAACTACCTTCCAGATTGGCCTGCCTGTAAGCAAACCTTCCCTTCTAATAAATCCAGCTCACACCTGCTCCATGTCCACCTCTGCTATTGCACAGTGAGATTTCCAGTTCAATATTGATTGGGTTATGCTTGAGGAAGATGCCAGAGAAATCACTGCATAGCAGCCAGAACACAATTAAGAAATGCTTCCTGGTCCAAGTGCTAGAAAACAAGGCAATTAAACATGTGTCCAGCTGGTCTAGGAATGGTATTGAAGGACAGAGTAGCAGTCCCTCCAGTAAAAAATGAAAAAATGAAAAAAATAAATTAACTTTTCCAAATGATCAGTGTCCCCACCAGGAGATGCAACAGCCCCACAAAAGATCACTTAAGACTGCAATTTTATGTAAGCATCAACATAGATCAGTATGAGGCTTTATAAGAGTTCAGGAAGTGAAATCCAGACTGCAAAAGGAGGGAAAGGTGCAGCTCCATTTTACTGAGGTACAATGCTTCATCCACAACAGAGGATACAATTCGTGTTCAAAGATGGCTCCTTGCAACCTAAAGTACACCTTCAGGAAAGGGGAGTGGCTGATCCTCCCATATTCAGGCAGAAGTGAGTCTTTTCTGACCAGTCCAAGGCAATGCTTGACCACTGAAGCAGGCAGACAATTTTGCAGTGCAGGCAGATCTTCAAAGTCTTATCTTCTATAGATCTTCTTGTCTTCTTATGCTAGAATCTTCTTGTGCTTGCAAAAACTGGCTGATATACTTGCATTATTTATTTAGCTCATCATAGCAGCTACCCAGCTGGTATGATGCCTGAATAAAATGCCCTTGTATAAAAGGAAGTCTCCCCCAAAAGACGAAACAAAGCCGGAGGCAGACGGGGCGGTCTTTAGCATATGCGCCACCAGAGTGCAAAGATTCGCCCAGCGCCCCCAAATTTAGTTTAGCCCCCAAATTAACTTTTATTATGCTAATGCCAGATGCCACACTTTTTAAAAACAATTTCTCCAAACGAATTTGAACTGTAAGTGATGAAATTAAAATGCAATTTGAAAAGTTTCACTCGGGGTCAGCGGCACCTTTGACACGACTGATCTCGTGGGGTTTGCCTGCAGCCGGCAGGCACTAAAGAACAACAAACCTCTGGTTACGTGAAACATATTCAATAAACACACAAGACGTAACTGGCTGTACGTTTGAAAAAATAATATATACTATTCATTGTATTGAATATTTCCGGAATATTAGCCTTGTTTCGCTGTCTTGGGCAAACTCATATATGATATCACAGGACAGCAGCTGTGCTATACAGGATTATGCTATAAGATCCACTGTCCAAATATTCCAGAAATCCTTGTCTTAGACTCTGTGAAAGGATTCTGTGGAACTGCAACAACCTTTCATGTGGATTGTTGGACTTTATGAACAGGCAGGTGGAATAGACACTGTCACATATATGGACCTTATGCATAAACGGATTAAAGAATGAACTGACCCACTGGGTCTTCTACTTTTTTCATTGAACTTTGAGTCACTTCTGTTGAAATCTACAATTCAATACAATGAATAGTATACATTATTTTTTCAAACGTACAGCCGGTTACGTCTTGTGTGTTTATTGCAGCCGGCAGGCAGGCAGCGCGAGATCAGTCGTGTCAAAGGTGCTGCATAGCAGCTCAGTGCAATACGTAACATAATATTTTGTAAGAGTTAATGTCGCGTGCACGGCGCTCTTGAGAATGACAAGTGTTGCCGCTGGCTCGTCTGACAAGCGCCACCATTGTGAATGACAAGCACCGCCGCTGGCACGGCGCATCTTTGGTAAATGAGCGCACAAAGTCGAAGTCCTTTAGTGAAACAGTAGGTATACATTTCGGTAATACCTAGGTATATATGTATTTTGTTTTTCTAGCTTGATCAAAATTATGAATTATTTCATAACACGTAGCTAGTTAAGAGCTTGGGCGGCTTCAGCAGTGAGTGCCTGGTGCCCCCAGAATTTGGAGCCCAGGTGCCCCACACCTCTTGCACCCCCAGGTAAAGATGGCGCTGGATGCAGATTATGGGGAGTGCACTGGGCATGGAGCCTCAGGGGTGTCACTGTGTTCGCTGAAACTATTATTTAGAATGGAGCATGGGAGGCACTGAATTTTGGCATCATGCAGGATGCCACTGAAATTTGAGACCCCAAGGTCTGCCACTGACAAAGCCATGATCTTTGTGAATATCTGACTATCTCCCTCCTCACCCATTGTGATCTTGACTTCTTCCTGACACACACCCTTTCATAGAATCATAGAGTTGGAATAGAACACAAGGGCCATCAAGTCCAACCCCCTGCCAAGCAGGAAACACCATCAGAGCACTCCTGACATATGGTTGTCAAGCCTCTGCTTAAAGACCTCCAAAGAAGGAGACTCCACCACACTCCTTGGCAGCAAATTCCACTGTCGAACAGCTCTTACTGTCAGGAAGTTCTTCCTAATGTTTAGGTGGAATCTTCTTTCTTGTAGTTTGGATCCATTGCTCCGTGTCCGCTTCTCTGGAGCAGCAGAAAACAGCCTTTCTCCCTCCTCTAGATGACATCCTTTTATATATTTGAACATGGCTATCATATCACCCCTTAACCTCCTCTTCTCCAGGCTAAACATGCCCAGCTCCCTTAGCCGTTCCTCATAAGGCATCATTTCCAGGCCTTTGACCATTTTGGTTGCCCTCCTCTGGACACGTTCCAGTTTGTCAGTGTCCTTCTTGAACTGTGGTGCCCAGAACTGGACACAGTACTCCAGGTGAGGTCTGACCAGAGCAGAATACAGTGGCACTATTACTTCCCTTGATCTAGATGCTATACTCCTATTGATGCAGCCCAGAATTGCATTGGCTTTTTTAGCTGCCGCGTCACACTGTTGGCTCATGTCAAGTTTGTGGTCAACCAAGACTCCTAGATCCTTTTCACATGTACTGCTCTCAAGCCAGGTGTCGCCCATCTTGTATTTGTGCCTCTCATTTTTTTTGCCCAAATGCAATACTTTACATTTCTCCCTGTTAAAGTTCATCTTGTTTGTTTTGGCCCAGTTCTCTAATCTGTCAAGGTCGTTTTGAAGTGTGATCCTGTCCTCTGGGGTGTTAGCCACCCCTCCCAGTTTGGTGTCATCTGCAAATTTGATCAGGATGCCCTTGAGTCCATCATCCAAATCGTTGATAAAGATGTTGAATAAGACCGGGCCCAAGACAGAACCCTGTGGCACCCCACTAGTCACTCTTCTCCAGGATGAAGAGGAACCATTGATGAGCACCCTTTGGGTTCGGTCAGTCAGCCAGTTACAAATCCACTGAGTGGTAGCATAGTCAAGACCGCATTTTACCAGCTTCTTTACAAGAATATCATGGGGCACCTTGTCAAATGCCTTGCTGAAATCAAGGTAGGCTACATCCACTGCGTTCCCTTCATCTACCAGGCTTGTAATTCTGTCAAAAAACGAGATCAGGTTAGTCTGACATGACTTATTTTTCAGAAATCCATGCTGACTATTGGTGATCACAGCATTCCTTTCTAGGTGCTCACAGACTGTTTGCTTAATGATCTGCTCCAGAATCTTCCCTGGTATTGATGTCAGACTGACTGGGCGGTAATTATTTGGGTCCTCTCTTTTCCCCTTTTTGAAAATAGGGACAACATTTGCCCTCCTCCAGTCTGCCGGGACTTCGCCTGTTCTCCAGGAATTCTCAAAGATGACTGCCAGTGGTTCTGAGATCACATCTGCCAGTTCTTTTAATACTCTTGGATGCAGTTCATCTGGCCCTGGAGACTTGAATACATCTAAACTAGCCAAGTATTCTTGTACTATCTCCTTAGTTATTCTGGGCTGTGTTTCCTCTGCTGAATCATTTGCTCCAAATTCTTCAGGTCGGGCATTGTTTTCTTTATCGGAGAAGACTGAGGCAAAGAAGGCATTGAGGAGTTCAGCCCTTTCTGTGTCCCCTGTTTGCATTTCACCATCTTCTCCTCTGAGTGACCCCACGGTTTCTTTGTTCTTCCTTTTGCTACGAACATACCCATAAAAGCCTTTTTTGTTGCTTTTAACCTCTCTAGCAAGCCTGAGTTCATTTTGTGCTTTAGCTTTTCTGACTTTGTGTCTACACGTGCTGGCTATTTGTTTGAATTCCTCTTTGGTGGTTTCCCCCCTTTTCCATTTTTTGTACACATCCTTTTTAAATCTTAACTCAGTTAAAAGTTCTTTAGATAGCCACCCTTGCTTCTTTAGGCACCTTCCATGTTTCCGTCTCATTGGTATTGCCTGAAGTTGTGCTTTTACTATCTCCCTCTTAACAAACTCCCAGCCATCATGAACTCCCTTTCCCTTTAGTATTAATGTCCATGGGATCTCACCCAGCACTTCCCTAAGTTTTATGAAGTCGGCTTTCTTAAAGTCAAGAAATTGAGTCCTAGTATGCTTGGCTGCTCCTTTCTGCTGTATAGTAAACTTCAGAAGAGCATGATCACTCGCGCCTAATGAACCTTCCACTTCTACCCCACTAACCAGGTCCTCAACATTGGTTAGGACCAGATCTAAAATGGCTGTTCCTCTTGTTGCTTCTCCCACTTTCTGGACAATGAAGTTGTCTGCAAGGCCAGTGAGGAATCTGTTTGACCTTTTGCTCTTGGCTGAGTTTGACATCCAACAAATATCTGGGTAATTGAAGTCCCCCATTACTACTATCTCCCTTCCTTTTGCATGCTTGGCCATCTGTTCCAGGAAGGCATCATCTATGTCCTCCGTTTGGCTTGGGGATCTATAGTAAACTCCCACAATGAGGTCTCTGTTATTCTTCTCTCCCTTAATTTTGACCCAAATGCTCTCACTTTGGCTTTGAGGTTCTAAATCTTGGATCTCTTCACAGGTATACACATCCCTGACATATAACGCCACTCCTCCTCCTTTCATGTCTGGTCTGTTTCTCTGAAATAGATTGTATCCCTCCATTATTACATTCCAATCGTGGGACTTATCCCACCAGGTTTCAGTGATGCCTATTATGTCATATTTAGTTTGCTGTACCAAGAGCTCAAGCTCATCTTGTTTATTTCCCATGCTTTGCGCATTAGTGTACAGACATTGAAGTCCATTAATCATTCCCCCGTGTCTCTTATTTAAGGATTTTTTCCTCCCACCACTAGGTCTGTGTGCTGTTTGCTCCATTTGGTCTATGACATTTGGATGATCATCTTCATCAATTGATATCCTACCTTCAGGAGCACTGTCTCCCTCCCCCACATTAGTCAGTTTAAAGCCCTCCTGATGAGGTTTCTGAGATTTTTGGCAAAAACATTCCTCCCAACCGCTGTGAGGTGCAGCCCATCGCTTGCCAGAAGTCCATCTTCAAGAAACTGCAGTCCGTGATCTAAGAATCCAAACCGTTCCTGTTTACACCATTTGCGAAGCCAGCTGTTCACTTCCACTATTTTTCCCTCTCTCCCTGGGCCACGTTGTTCAACTGGGAGGACAGATGAGATGACAATTTGTGCATTTAATTGCTTCAGTTTCCTGCCCAGAGCCTCGTAGTCTCTTTTGATCTTCTGGAGGCTATTGCTTGCAGTAATATTGCTTTCAGATTCTTACAAATCCGCATGGTCTTTCTGAATGTACTTCAAATATCAGCTCAGCATTCTATTCTAGACACATTGTTACATATTCCGCCCATATTTTATGTTTTTTTAATTGCAAGCACAAGCATAAAGCCCTCACCTCTACACAATTACTTGATAGTAAAAAGACCCACTAAGCTCAGTGGAGACTTTCTTCTGAGTCAACATGTACAGGATTGCACTGTTAGTAGATGCATGTATACCTTAACTGGCTTTCAACCCATGACACGACTAGTTCCTGCTTCATAAGGCAGGATATGCATGAGGTTCATGTACCTTTTCCTTCACAAGCCATGACTCAGCTGTTCACCAAAGCTGCCCATTATGTGCAAACTCAGGAGTATGATCTCAAAAAGAAGCCAGGGTGTTAAGTCCATTGGCATTGCCTCCTTCTCTGACACCCAGGAGGAAATGCCGTTTCTGGGATCACATCTGCTGCAATACATACCAGTACACTTCCTTCTTAAAAACTATTGGTTTATTCCTATGCAAAATGAGGCTATTTACTCCAATATTCAATCAAAATATCATCAATTAGGATTGATTTAATTCAGGGGGTGGAGAAAGTGTGGCCTCCCCAGATGCGGCTGAATTACTGACCATGTTGGCTGGGGCTGATGGAGCTGGAGTCCGAGATCTGGGGCCACAGGTTACAACCAGGTAAGCCCTGTAAAGTGCTCTGAACACCTGGAAGCACTATACAAGTACAGATCACTCTCTTGTCAGCGACAGTACATTTCTGGAGATGTAATCTGGTTTGTCCCCAAAGACCTCCCTCTTAATTCCTATCCTGCCTTTCATGAAACCCACTGTGGCACACCTGGGCTTCCATGGAGTTTTCCATCCAGGCACAGACCAGACCCAGATCTGTTTAGCTTCAGTAAGGTTGCTGTATCATGTGCCTTGGCCAGTTCTTAGGTCCACCTCCAGATCAAAGCATACCGGTCTCATTCTCTTCTGCTGTTTCTTCTGTTAGACACAAAGGCAGCGGCAGGATATTCTGAAGCTCATCCTTGCTGGAGAAAATGTAAGTTTCCCTCTCTCCCTGCCATACCCTCCCCAATTGCAGCCTGATTATGGGTAAAAGGTAAAGTTAAAGGGACCCCTGACCATTAGGTCCAGTCGTGACCGACTCGGGTTGCGGCGCTCATCTTGCTTTATTGGCCGAGGGAGCCGGCGTACAGCTTCCGGGTCATGTGGCCAGCATGATTAAGCCGCTTCTGGCGAACCAGAGCAGTGCACGGAAACACTGTTTACCTTCCTGTCAGAGCGGTACCTATTTATCTACTTGCACTTTGACATACTTTTGAACTGCTAGGTTGTCAGGAGCAGGGACCGAGCAACTGGAGCTCACCCCGTCGCGGGGATTCGAACCGCCGACCTTCTGATCGGCAAGTCCTAGGCTCTGTGGTTTAACCCACAGTGATTAGGGGAAGGTGGGATAATTTTTAAGTGCAGGAGCTCATTGTGATGAACCCCACAGATATGCTCTTGGAAAGTCCAAATATGCAAGCAGCTCAGTTAATTCCTATTTACACATGTATGCAAACATGCCCCCCCCCCAAATCAGCAGCACAGCATAACACTAAATTTATTAAGATCAGCCAAGTCATAGATGTTTACCCAGACAGATTCAAGGCTGTGCAGCTGTCAGTACTACCACAGAGTTGCCTAGGGAACATGTGTGACTCGGGATCCTTTGCCTTTGAAACAGATGAGCAATGCTGTGAACTTGAAAGAGCTGGCTGAGAAAACAAAAGGTTACTCAGGAAGTGACCTGCGGGAATTGTGCCGGGATGCTGCCATGTATCGTGTGCGTGATTATGTCCGCAAGCAACAAATGAAGCAGATTGCTTGGATGCTCCACGATACAGACAGTGGGGAAGAAAGGTAGGAGCTTCACTCAGCTCCCGTTCCTCTTTGCTTCTAACTTTTCATAGTTCTGGGTCTGTTTCTCAGCCTCATTTGCCCTGCTCGTTTTAACAGAGAATGCTCTGAATGAAAGATGGTTTTTTTTGGTCATGCATACATGCCTAGGTCTTGAGATCTTTATCGGATGCACTTTTCTGGGTTTTCTCACCTGATAGAAGTGAACTGAGTCATGACCAGAGTGAGCCCTTCCTTGCTGGCCTCCCACTTAGGGAATGCAGGCTTCAGAGAGGCTCACCTGGCACCTCGGAGGTGGTTTTCTTTGTGCCGGGTAAAGCCTTTGGCTGCATATACACCATGCATTTAAAGCTCCTCCCCACCCCCCAATCTTGGGTTTACCCATCACAGAGCTACCATTCCCAGTATCTTACCAAACTAGTTCCCAAGCTTAGGAGGAGAGGAGAGAGGAGCTTTAAATGCATGTTATGTATGTAGCCTTTGTTCTCCCAGATCCCTTAATTTTAATACATACATCTATCTGGAATATCAAAACCTTGCACATCCCATTTTTATATTCATTTTAAATTGTTTTAGCTGCTGTGCTTATCCAAGTTTTAGTGTTTTATTGTCTACAGTTTTGAATTTTATCTGTATACTTACAAAAGAACTTAAATTATACAAATAGGATGAATTGATAACCAGAAGGTTCTGGGCTCAAATTATTTGGGCCATGGACTTTCAGAAGTATGAAAATATGGGTTAAACTCCAATTGTCCAAATGAAATCCATACATCTAAGCAAGTCTATCAGTGCAATGGAGGAGGGCTAAATTGCAGAAGACTGAAAAGGCGATCCCGCTTTTAAAATTTATTTATTGATACTTATTCAAAAATATACAAAAGTTCACACCCATTATGAAGTATATTTTTATAACACACTGAAATAAAACAGCTACTTAATCTAATCTTTTAAAAGTCTCAAATGACAGGGTTATGGTCTGAAAATGTCTTTGGTAAGATGCTGACTTTATACACCTCTGTGGTCAACGTTTTAGACAACCAAGCCATGTCCAGTCTTGAATGTGATCTGTATCTTTCATGTATGTAAATTCTTTAGCATCTCCATTCTTATATCTCCAAATATCTACAAGTTCTAACTTCTCAATCAATTTTTGAAAAGAATTGGGCTGTTTGCCTTGTGAACTTGTAATCTTTTCCTCTGAAATCCTATCCTGTGTAGGGGAGACAACTCCATGCCAATCTCCATAAGGCACCAGTTCTCATATGGATAATCCATCAGTTGATAAAAAGTTGGTTTCTTTTCATTTGTGACATACTTATGAAAAGGTGACTTTAAATTAACATACGGTAACTGTTTATAGAGCTCTTTTCAACATTACGTTTAGCAGTGCAGGAGCAGTTCCTATATAAAAGTTGCTTCCTGTGGAAATCTGAGGCCATGTAGGAGAAGCCTCTGCTGCAGTTCCTTCTCATGCTGCTGTTATTCCTCCGTAGATCTGGAGGAACCCAGGAGTTGTGTTAGGATCCTTACAACAAACCTGCACGGTGGGCAGTATTAGAAACGTAGAAAATGGTCTGAAATCCAGTCAGATATCCATCTAGCTCTGCTGTGTTTACAGGGCACAATGACCGTGGCAGCAGCATTTCAGACAGGTGTCTTTTACAGCTAGGGACTGAACTGGGGATCTTTTGCAGGCAAAGCATAGGCACTACTGAGCTAGGGCTCTGCTCACTATTATCAAGCAGGGCAAGAGGAGCCATGCTTTAGCCCAGGGAGGGGGGAACTGTGCCCCTCCAGATGTTGTTGGATTCCAGTTCCCATCAGCCCCCACCAGCATGGCTAATAAGGATGATGGAGGCCAGCTTCTAGAGACACAGGTTTCTTCTTCCTCCTACAGCACCTCCATTAATAACCAGGCGATGTTAGAAGGGGCCCCAAGTTTAGTGGTGGAGTCCATTATTGCCATTGTGCTTGGAATGGTACTGCTGAAATGAGTCCAATGGTCATTTCAGCTCTGCCATTCTATAACATTTATTTCTATTTTAATAGATTTCAGAAACAGTTTACAAAAAGCAAAAGAGAACCAAGTCACAGCACATCAGGAAATAGTAGAGGTGTCACAGGTTAATGGTAAAGCACACATGCTTTGCCTGTGAGAAGTCCCAGGTTCCACACTTGGCACCTGCAGTTAAAAGGACCAGGAGACAGGAGATGACAACCATCTCTCTCTGCCTGGGACCTTGTGCCAGTCAGAGTAGACAATACTCAGCTAGACAAATATTCTGACCTGGTAGGAGGCAGCTTCCTATGTTCCTAAATCAAGGCAATTTGAAACCAAAAAGTGTAAAATAAAACTAATCTAGAACCCACAGACTCAATAAACTTGGGAAAAACACTGAAGATACAATGGAAGATGATGGCAGGCATTTTGGGGAGCAAAGAACTGTGGGCAGAGACAAAAGAACCAACAGGCAGTTGACTTATTTATTTTGCATCCAGTGACTTGGAAGAGGAACGGTTGCGACCACTGACCCAGCTTGACTTGTTGTTTGCCCTAGAGAAGATGGAGGAGTCCAAGGGTGCGTCGACTGCTGTGCCGACACTAGAAGAACCGGCTTTGGACTAAGCTGCTGGACCATGTAGCTGAGAGACTGGAGACCATCAACTTAGAATAGGGTGCCCAGAGGTTCAATTGACTGTTCACTGTATTTTTACTAGGCTGGAGGCAAAGGCTGTATATGTATATGTGTGAGATGATAGAGAGATAGTCGCAGAACACAGGCTCAGCACTTAGGTTAGGAGGAAAGGTGAAAGGAAAGGGAATCTGGGCCAAGCACACCCACCTTGGGTGGAGTGGGACATAACAGGTAGGAATGGAGAAACTCATGTCAAAAGAAAGAAGTCAGCGCAGTTAACATTTGTGGGGGGAGGGGCGTGTCACAGCTTTTCTAGAGGTTGTAAGATGAGGGGAGCCGTGTAATACAAGTGAGAAAGGACAACCACCAGTAAAACCCAATTTGGAAGCTATTATTGTGTAAGTGAGTGGCAAGGTATGCTTATAAAGTAGACCTACTCATAAGACAAGAGGGCACTAAAGCAAATGCCTAGGACCAAGCAAGTATTTATTTCTGTTCCAAGTTTGCTGGCTGAGCCGTCCTGAACATCTGTGCACATGGCTCTTTACAAAAGAAGTCTTTTTTTAGGTAGCTCATCTCCTCTACATGTTCATACACAAAAGCATTTAAAACCTAGAAATACAGAACTGGAAATATTTCATTGCCTTTTTTTGTCTTGGCTGCTTCCTTCTCACACTGAAATCTGGTGCCTCATGACGGGTTTGGAGTCTGGATTATTCCTGCTTTTTTACTTTAGATTATGCTTCAAGTGCTCATAGCTGACAAATTATGCACCACAGCATGTAAGCAGTTGGGGAAGGCCACATCCCCTGCGCTTGCTGTACTTGGCCTCTGCACTTAATACCTTTTACATATAGGCAGCTTACCATGGTTTGCAAATAATAATAATAATAATAATAATAATAAGAAGAAGAAGAAGAAGAAGAAGAAGAAGAAGAAGAAGAAGCAGCTATTTATATCCCGCCCAAACTGGGCTCAGGGAGGCTAACATTAAAATATATAATACATTAAAACATAAAATCCAGCAATCGACTGAAATACAGCTTAGAATCAGATTAAAATCAACGTAAATCAGAATAGGGAAAGCCACTTGTATCATTCTGCCAAGTGGTAAGGAAAATGTTAATTTGTTCCGGAGGTCCGTTCTTAAACTGAAACTGTTCTTAACCTGAAGCACGACTTTAACTAATGGGGCCTCCTGCTGCTGCCGCGCCACTGGAGCACGATTTCTGTTCTCATCCTGAAGCAAAGTTCTTAACTCGAGGTACTATTTCTGAGTTAGTGAAGTCTGTAACCTGAAGCATATGTAACCCGAGATACCACTGTACAGGTTATTGAATGCAGATGTGCAGCAAAATGGTTGCCTCTAAGTGTTCACTGGCTACAAAATGCAATGGGATGTATAGAAAACAACAAATGACCCTAGAATATTTAATTTTATTAATATAGAAGGATTTCTAAACCACTTAATATTTATAATATGTAAGCAGTAAAGCAAGACAGGCCAACCTGATTTGTCCAGGAGACACAAACATTATGACATCACAACCAGAAAGACTCTAACTGCTTCCAGAGTTCTAGAGCAAGGAGCAAAAAGGTTATGAAAAGGAGGTGTTTACTGCCAGCAGTGACTACTGATAGGTGGCATCAAGGAGACTGCTGCAGGAGACTTTTTGTGCCCAAAAACTTGATCACAAGCTATCCTTGGCTGAGACACCAAAAGACACGTACATCAATGCTAGAAGGAAACACTCTCTGTAAGTAATCACCATCCTACTGCTTCAGCCTACAACACTCGTCTTCCCAGGCACATGCGATGGACAGAAAGGACACATAACAGCTCCTGCTCATCTAATGACCAACATCCAACTAGAGATTCTAAAGAAGCAACCTACCCCTAAAAGGAGAGCTTGTCTTTATCCCTCCTACTCAACTGGCTGCAGTTCTTACCATCTTACCATAACAGACTCTTAAATCACAAAATGACTGTCTGGCAGAGGTATATCAACAGCATCATGAGAGATGGGATTTGCTGGGATGCAGCAGTTGTCTCTATAGCTCAACAGCAACTCCTAGGTGCTCACCGAAGTGGCATATTGGCCAGAGTGACCAAGCCAGAGATCCAAGCTCTCATTGACAGGAACAGAGACATCCTCCTCACACAAGGGTTGACCCTTGGTGGGCTCAAGTGTCTGGTCATACGTGACAACCTCTATACTGATGCCCATCAATACACCATGGATCTCCGGACCAAGCTGTATGGGGACAATGGAGACAGCTGCACCCATGCCATCACTGTAGTCCTGGTCAACCCTGTATGCCTAATACTCATTGGCCGGAAAGGGGTTCAGGGAGGAACGCTGAATATGAAGGCTCTTCAGACGGCACGGTATATCAAAGACAACTTGCATCATTAAATGCGTCCTATGGGTGATCAGCACATACCTCCTTTACCATTGCAACTTCCAAATGGTGACAGTTTCCTTTTTCTCTTGAGGCATTCTTGAAAGGAAAAGCGCCAACAACTTCTGGAAGAGGAGCAGAAGCCCCACAGAAGTGCTGGTGAAATTGTGGGGGTCTAGGTACGGCCAAAGCAGGCAATCACAAAGAATCTTGTACAGCTAGAGGCGGAACTAGAATCACAACACTAAACAGATCTATAAATTTAAAGCTGAAGACAGATAGCTTAGAATATTCTGCAACCTTTCATCCCAAGTTTTCAGTGGGAGAAAGGATTCTCACTGCAAAATGCCAAGCAGTAAAGCAGTGGAATTAACCACTGATTTTGTTATCCCCATTTAGGTTCTTTTAATTTGTTTAGGTGTTTTAACCTAGATGAGACCCAGTGTGCTCCAGGGAAGGCACAAATAAACCTCAGACAACCAATATTAGATTTCTCTATAATAGTGTATTATTGTTTAAAAAGTAAAGTCAAGACAGGGAATATGCACTCATACACACATCCATGCACACAGATCCATACGCACCACTCTTCACTGGACTGATCAGACCCAGTAAGAGCTTGGGTGACCAGACAACGGGATCCTGTCTGTGTCTGGCAAACAACTTTGGGGAGACGAAAATGAATAAAGGAAGCAGCCATTCACATATAATCTTCCAAATGATAATTGAAAGCAAAGAGACGGATAGCTCAAGCAAAGAGATGGATAGCTCAAGCAGAACCTGAAACAACGCATAAAAGAACTGGCACAGATCGTTTCAGAGAAGAATGCTCTTCAAAAGGAGGAGGAGGAGAAAGTAAGGATTCTTACTGAGATGCTGGTGATGTCAACTTCTGCATCATCGGAAGAGTTCAAGGTTTGACAGAGGAGTAGAGTGACCTGCGGACCAAGAACAATAAACCAGGAAGGAGGGGAGTGTCTCCCGGGAAGCTTTTCCCCAAAAGCCAAACAGTTTAAAAGGTCTTTGCCTTGTCCAGCAGAGTTGAGAGTCTGTATCCTCAGAGGTTTCAGAATATGAAGATCAATGGATGACAGCCAGTGTTACAATTCCTGAAGAATAAGATTCCAAAGTCTGAGGTTGGTTTGGAGGAAGTAATGTCAAAAGACTTGCAGATCAAGGAGCAAAAGAATAAAATTGAAGGACTGGAAAACAATGTTAGTGAGCTAAAAAAGATTTTGAGTAACTCGGGGGCCGAAATGGAATAAATGAAGTAGGTTCTCAGTGATGCTGAGGCAGCAGCACTGGATTCCAAGGGAGAATCTTCATTCCTCAGGAGTGAACATATAGCACTAAAAGAAAAAGAAAAAATGCTCTTCCAGAGTTTTGCAGATTCTGTCATGCTTTGTGAAATCCTAGCAGATGAGAGGGATAATGCTCTCACAGGACAAAAAGCCTTAAAAGTAGAACTAGAAAACCTGCGACTAGAGAAAGAGCAGCTGATATGTGAGCCCAGAGAGCTGAAGGAGAACATATTCACTGATGAGTTTGTGGCTCTTGAAAGAGAGCAAGAGAGCTTGAAGCTGAAAAACCAAGAGCTGGAAAATGCCATGAGTGAATTGAGGAGAAATTCCCAGGATAAAGAAAGGATAAAACACGATGGCAACAGAGCTTAAAGTGCGAGCTTCCAAGAATGAGGTGGTCCGCCTTGAGGCTGTGTTAGAGAAGGAGAACTGCCTAGAAAGTGCACTTGCAGAGAAGCAAACTCTCAAGGCCAAACTTGATGAAGATGCTGAATCGAACAAGGATGAAATTGAGGACCTCAAAACTTGGCTTGCTAAAGCAGACATGGCGAGAATGAAACAGTGCAAATATTTTGATCGAGAACTGGCTAATGCAAAAGCTCTTGCAGAGCACAGAGAGGAGAAGGTGAGAAAACAAAAACTTCACAGAGTGCAACAAGAGCAGGAGGTGACTGCAGACACAAAGTCTTTAGGTGTCCAGTCCACCGACAAAGCAGCAGAGACTACAAAGAAAACTATAAAGCAGTGGCTTGCAGAAGACTCATACAAGGACGTTTCTGAATGCATGACACAATAATAAATTTCCAAGTCAGCATTATTGCTAATCAAATTGTGATCATGTTGCTCTTCCGGCGTGGGTGCCATCGCTGCTGCAGCTCCAGAGGAAAAGTCGTCCTTACTTTGCTCGGTGTTATGATGGCACATCCTGGTGGCTGGCATTGATCGCTACCCACGCAAAGTGACAGCCAGTATGGGCAAGAGGAAGATTGCCAAGCGTTCCAAGTCCTTTGTGAAGGTCTACAGTTTGCACCAATAAATATTTTTAAGAACCCCTCCCCCCAAAAAACCTGTGTTCATGTTTTTCATACTTATTTTTATATGTAAAATAAAGACTTATTTTTAATGTGATTTTTAAAGAAGAAATAAATAGTAGACCTTGCACAAATAATAATAAAAAAACACCAATTATGTTATGCCCAATTAGGTTCTTTTAATTTGTTTAGATGTTTTAACCTAGATGAGACCCAGTGTGCTCCAGGGAAGGCACAAATAAACCTCAGACAACCAATATTGGATTTCTCTATAATAGTGTATTATTGATTAACAGCTAACAAGTCAACACAGAAAATATGCACTCATACACACATCAATGTCAAGAATGGAGGTTGAAACACCGAAACAAATTAAAAGAACCTAATTGGGCATAACAATTTTGCGACAGCAGGACTTCATCACTACCATAATATTGCCAATTTAGTAGTCTCTTTCTCCTTCCAGGGTATTTTTCACTTTGCCATTTGCAGGTCCCACTGGATATCCAGAACTGTCATCACTTCAAATAAAGCTGAGCACCAGTGACATCAGGAATCAGATGAGAGGAGATAAAGCTTATGGTGAGGTGGAGGAGGCAATTCAGCACTCTCTATTTATGTCTAGAAAGAAAGCAAGTCATGGCATATCTGCCACGGATGATGCCCATCCAGGCTGAAGTGCAATGCAAACTGTCTCTTTCCTTCAAGGTACATGAAATGCTCTTGGACCAAAGTAAGCAGTCAAAATCAAATTAGCCGCTAATAATAATAATAATAATAATAATAATAATAATAATAATTTATTATTTATACCCCGCCCATCTGGCTGGGTTTCCCCAGCCACTCTGGGCGGCTTCCAACAGAATATTAAAATACAATAGTCTATTAAACATTAAAAGCTTCCCTAAAGAGGGCTGCCTTCCGATGAAGCAGTGTGGCTTTGAGGGCAGCAGTTAAACAGACACCACAAGCTCAGTTTAATTCATTAATAAAATATTTCTCAAAGGCATTCTCCTGGTCTCATAGCTGCAAAGAACAGAGGAACAGGTAAAGCGGAGACATACAAACACTTCACAAAATATATACAAGCTTTGAAGAAACAGGGAAAGCTGTGGATTCCAAAGTGCTTGCTTACCTGTGTGTGGCACGAGGTACGTCAGTCTCCCACTATTCAGCTGCATTGGATGATCCCATGTTCTAGTATCAGGATGGAGAAAAACACTCTATCCACTTTTTCCACACGATGCAAAAGCCACTTCCTCATTTTTATTTATAAATACACAGCCACCAGATGGAGCTCAACAATTGTGCCATGGCACCACGGCAATGAGTTTTCCTTAAGAAATCCTATAAGACTGTCCTTATCTAAGAGCAGTGCTTGAGCAGGGGTCCAGCTGAATTAACATTTAGCTTTTTTCCAGCAGATTTTTATAACTTCCACATCTTGAATTTAAAAATAAAAATTTAGAAGATGACAGGTTTTAATTCCTGCTCTATAAAACCATTACAGCAGGAATGGGGGATCTGTGGCCCTTCAGGTGGTGGCAGACTGCAGATCCCATAATCCCTGACCACTAGGCCATGGGAGTGGGAGTCCAACAGTATCTGGAGGACCAGAGGTTCCTCATCCCTGCCCTAAAACCTTGTTGTCCTGCAATTCCCAGACACGATAAACAGCACATGATTTACAGCTTCATCATCCCTGCAGACTAAAAGTATGGTAGAGGGTGAAATCAGGGCACTCCAGAGCCCAAATCAAACTCTTAACAGCCAAACTTTCCCCTCAAAAAATATCATTAGGGGTGATTATTCATTTTATCTCGGCACCATCTTCTGTACTGCTCTCCCTCATCAAAGGCTAATTGAATATGTTATATCTGCCAGATGCACAGCTGGTGGGACAAAATACACCCAACTCACTACCAGCATCACATGCACCACACATTCATCAAGGACGGCAACACTGCAGGCGATGGGAAACCAAAAACAAGACTGGGCGAGGGACGGTGTGCCCCTTCATGCCATTTTCTGGCCTCTCTAAAGAAACCTGTTGCTGCTTTTGGCATACATGAAGTAGCATGATAGGCACCTCAAATCACAAGCCCTGGCAACCAGATACCTTTTTTAAAAAATGCACAGACATTTTGTAGCTGTTCAAAAATAAGGGGGAAACTATATGAACAATTTCAGAGAGGACTGGCTTCATCCTGAGAATCCATAGAACCATTTGGAATGGGAGAACCCTTCCTCTTCACCTGGAGGTAATGGCTGAAGAGCCCAATCTCTGCTCAAAAGCCTCTCCCACATAACCAATCCCCTACTAGGACTCTGGCGCCTGGGATTGTGGCACAGTCTTGTCTGCTCTACGCTGCTTGGAAATTAGGCCTGTGGAGAAGGGGAGGCGTTGGAGCATCTCCAACGGAAGACTTTATGGCTTCAGAGACCCAAACGCAGCAAGGGGTCACACAGTTCCGCTCCACTGCAATGTGGCCAGTCTTGTCTAGGAGGTTGTCTCTCTCTCTCCAGATTCGGAACAAGGCTTTTCTGGACAGCCCAGTCACTGTTGCTTCTAAAGGAACCTCGAGGAAGGGCGAGCAGTCCTGTCCACAGGCCTTTGCCCAGGCTCTCTACCGATGCTTCTGTTCCAGCAGGGATTCAAAATCCGGGGCACAGACCAGCTTGTGCTTCACATGGCCCAGGATGATCATCTCGCCACTCCTGCTGTCTCCAATGCCCACTGACACCAGCTCCTTCCAAGGGCAAAAGAAAAAGCTGTTAACCACCAAATCCTCTCTCTCTTTTTTTTAAGAATAATTTTTATTAACCGACCAATCACATCAAATCAAACCAAACCAAATTACATAAATTACAAATTACAAAGCCAAATTTTAAATTTTTGTTGGGGTTACCCATATTTCAAGTTCCGAAAGGGGATCCAATCATCTTCTTGCTGCTGCTTTAATGTCCACAAATCTGACCATATGATATTCACAGTACTATCCAGTCCTTTCTTATTGTTTTTCCACATCTCTTCTTGTTATTTTCATATATTTTTCCTTTCTCTTTGTGACCTCTGATAGTCTCCACAAGCGGGTTAAAACACCAAATCCTCTTTAGCCCCATAGCTCACCAAGGACATTTTTCTGCAGATGAGGCAGGGGGGAGCAGCTAATTCCTACTGAAACGTCGGCAGCCCTCATTCATTTAATTAAGACTTGCGCAGAACTTCCTGGTAGATTGTGCTCCATTAACATCTTCCATCTCGGATACTAAGATGTCTTTGGCCATCTCTGTTATTCAGAACTAAGGGCATTAAAGTCAACAACCATTTCACATGGGGGTTCCGTTCTTGCTCCCACCCCCCACACCAGCAGAGTGCCTATAAATGCGCCCTGCCCCATTCCTCCCTTTTTGTGACATGTTGAGTGACGTTTTCAGGTCACTGGTGCCCTCTGAATGTACATTAATCGGTCATTGCCTGTATTCAGCTCCTTCAACACCCTTCTTCATTCAGTGACAGAGATGGCACCGCATACATTTTAGTATCGGAGATGTGATTGTCAGCTTTCTTGTGAATGTGGAAATCCTTCTGCTAACAGAATAGTAACATAGCACAGTAATGGAGATATATATATATGCCTGTTGTCTTAGTCAGGGGTCAGCACTGTACAATCTAGAACAGAGGTCAGCAAACTTTTTCAGCAGGGGGCTGGTCCACTGTCCCTCAGACCTTGTGGGGGGCCGGACTATATTTTTTGGGGTGGTGGTGAATGAATTTCTATGTCCCACAAATAGCCCAGAGATGCATTTTAAATAAAAGGACACATTCTACTCATGTAAAAACATGCTGATTCCTGGACTGTCCAAGGGCCGGATTTAGAAGGTAATTGGGCAGGTTCTGGCTCCCGGGCCTTAGTTTGCCTACCCATGATCGTAGTCCTATAGGTTCACAGCTGGAAGCACTGTGATATTAGAAAATGCAATGCTGAAAGTTAATAATCTCCTCTAATTCCTTAGCCAAGTCTTTTAACTGTTCCCTAGCTATGATAAGGTAAAGGGACCCCTGACCATTAGAATCATAGAATCATAGAATCATAGAGTTGGAAGAGACCACAAGGGCCATCGAGTCCAACCCCCTGCCAAGCAGGAAACACCATCAGAGCACTCCTGACATATGGTTGTCAAGCCTCTGCTTAAAGACCTCCAAAGAAGGAGACTCCACCACACTCCTTGGCAGCAAATTCCACTGTCGAACAGCTCTTACTGTCAGGAAGTTCTTCCTAATGTTTAGGTGGAATCTTCTTTCTTGTAGTTGGGATCCATTGCTCCGTGTCCGCTTCTCTGGAGCAGCAGAAAACAACCTTTCTCCCTCCTCTATGTGACATCCTTTTATATATTTGAACATGGCTATCATATCACCCCTTAACCTCCTCTTCTCCAGGCTAAACATGCCCAGCTCCCTTAGCCGTTCCTCATAAGGCATCGTTTCCAGGCCTTTGACCATTTTGGTTGCCCTCCTCTGGACAAGTTCCAGTTTGTCAGTGTCCTTCTTGAACTGTGGTGCCCAAAACTGGACACAGTACTCCAGGTGAGGTCTGACCAGAGCAGAATACAGTGGCACTATTACTTCCCTGGATCTAGATGCTATACTCCTATTGATGCAGCCCAGAATTGCATTGGCTTTTTTAGCTGCCGCGTCACACATTAGGTCCAGTCGTGACCGACTCTGGGGTTGCGGCGCTCATCTCGCTTTATTGGCCGAGGGAGCCAGCGTACAGCTTCCGGGTCATGTGGCCAGCATGACTAAGCCACTTCTGGCGAACCAGAGCAGTGCACGGAAACGCCGTTTACCTTCCCGCCAGAGTGGTACCTATTTATCTACTTGCACTTTGACATGCTTTCAAACTGCTAGGTTGGCAGGAGCAGGGACAAAGCAACAGGAGCTCACCCCGTCGCGGGGATTCGAACCGCCGACCTTCTGATCAGCAAGTCCTAGGCTCTGTGGTTTAACCCACAGCACCATCCGCGTCCCTTCCTAGCTATGATATGGGGAAACAAATTTAGCTTTAAAAAATCCCTTGACATTCTGAGTGCCCAGACTGAAGCATTAAGAGGGTGCTCTCTACCAACTTTGTGGGTCATCAATTCCTGAGGAAGAAGAGTCAAGGTGTTGGTTATTATTTCTAGAAGACTAATGGAGGATTCCCAATGGCAGCTATCTAGGAAAGTAGGCAGCCAGATCCTTTATTGAAGCCTTTGGTGGCTCCGGTACAGAATGAGTTTGAGATGCTCAAACCTGTTCCAATTACCAGTAGAGTGATGCTCCGAGCCACTTCATATGCACTGTTTTATACAGGACCACAACCAGGGGTTGGCATCAGGCAACAGCAGAGGCTGGGCCCACCACTGCTCTGATTCCCCCCTACAGAAGTAGCACAAGTGGCAGACGCATTCTTTCCTTTCATCCTCTGTGCTTTGGTGCTGCTGCTGCTGCTGCCTACTGAGTCTCCCATCCCCCTCGATCTGCCAGAGAGGTGGTGGCAGCAGCAGCTTTCAGCTACCGCCCTCCTACTCAGACAGAAATAGGACCAGAAGTAGATGCCTGCCCTCTGTCCAGCAGAGAAGAGAAAGTACCACTGTCACTACCGGGGACAACAATATGCTTTGTGGGGGAATTTCTTTTGCCAATCCCCAAAAACCTGGAGCTCTCTCCAATTTTGTACCTGAGTTATGATGCCTAAGTTAAAAACAAATAAATCCATACTTATTTTACTTAATTACGAAGGGCTCCCCGTTTTTAAAATAGAGGTTGACATCACAGAAAAACATGTACAAATACTTTTTCATCCCTCACTTGCATGTAGCTTGACAGGAAACCCAGATTTCATCCAAAAAAGTGACCTTCATAGTGTGCATATTTTGTGTGCATATTTTGTGTTCTGCCCTGGGAACCCCAGGACAAAATATATGGAAAGAGACATTATACCGCTAAGAAACCCAAAGTCCAAACTGACACTGGACAAGGAGCTGGACCCCATGCTGGGCTCCTGGTGACGGCACCTTTTTGACAAGTGCACTGCACATGTTTTAGGTGCAGCCCCTCAGAGACATCACACTCTGGTTCCAGCACAGAGGCTGACCATGGGTGGGAGGAATCCAGCTATGCTTTACTCTGAGCAGGCCCAATGAAATTAATTTAGTCATATCCAATAATTTCAACAGCTCTGTTCTGAGTATGGTTGATTTTGTACCCCACTCCATCTCATGAAGATGCCTGTGTCCCCTTGAGGCTGGGAGAGAGAACCTTTTCGGTCCTCATGAGGATTTGCCTCATGACCCCGATTTGACAGGTGAGTGGGGCTGCCCATCTGTCAATCACCTGATGGCACAATGAAGTCAGATTAAGGGTGCTGTTAAAACTAATTCACATCATCCTTCTCCCTTCTTTCTGATTCAGAAAGGGGTTTTCATCGGAATCCCCTGCTGCAACTAGGTGTTTACAACCAATGCTAGATTTAACTCTACCCTTCAATCCATCAGCTGATTGTCCTGCAGGCTGGAGGTTCCCCTCCCCAGTCTATCAAAGCTTATACTGAGCCGTAAGAATATATGAGCCCAACTGGATCAGACCAGCAAAGGCAAGCCAACGAACATGACAATAGCTCTTCTCTGCCACTGGCCACACTGGCAACTGCTATTCAGAGCCACACTGCCTTTGAACATTTCCATTTCACTTGCTAGCAGGGAATGTGCATTTTGAAAGGTGAGTAAAAGAGAGGTTTCCTGAGTAAGCCATACCTGAAGGAAGGAGCAGGGTGTCCCTGTGGTCACATCAAGAGTCACCCTGCCCAGAACTAGCTGCACCTTCCCTGATTTGCGGATCAGCAGCTTCCCCACCTGCCCTTCAGAGAGGTCACCGAGGGTGCAGGTGTTCTCTGCCTCTTTGGCTTCCTGAAAAGGAAGCACAAAGTTACAAACATCACCCATCTTTCTGGGGAAACCAATCTTGGAGTATTCAGAAACCACCCTTGTTTTCTCACAAACCAAGAGCTAGTGCCTTCAACTGAATAAGCTGAACCTCAGGAAACCAGTGAAAGTTATGCAAATTAAACAATGTTGACCCATTTCTCATTTTACATACTTTACCTCTGCTGGTCATAGAGTAGTCAACAATGGAAATTCTATGCAATAAGGCCTCTGGCTTCTGATGCATCATGAAGTGTAGCCCATACAGTTTCAAGTACATCTTAGCACCCAGAAAGACTAGAAACTTTTAAATTGAAGCAGTCATGTGCCCTACACTCCACACATGGGGTGACTTTTCTACACTTCCACATCCCTTCCTATGGCCCCTTCTTTGGCAACATAAGCAACGACATCCTATCCAGCCCCCTGCTACTTCTTATTCTAAACAGGAATCAAGTCTTCCCATACCTGGTTCTTCTCCTGCTTTATCACCATCACCTGCCCATCTTCACTTTGCACCTCAGTTTTGATGGGCTTGGTGTCCTGGGTGGGCGGCTGTCCTGGCAGTGTATCTGGTAGCTGCAGAAAGAGCAACTCGTCCTCCTTGCAGAGGCTGAGCCGCTGCAGCAGCTCCGCAACAGACACATCCTGGGGGAAGGGAGGGGGTGCCTTTGCAGGAGCTGGTCTGAGGACCGGTGGGTTCTCTTCTTCATCATGGGGCTCCTCTTTCACTGAAACGAGACATAACAATTCAAATCAGAGCTGCAAGGGATTACACCATTACCTGGTCACTGTGTTCCATGGGAGAGGACCTCCTGGTGGTACTGAGGGCTTCTCATATTCATTTTTTTTTAAAAAAGATTTTTATTAAAGTTTTCAAAATATGACAAAAAGAAAAAAGAATAAGAAAAAATACAAAGTAAAAACAGTTAAAAACAATTCAATCTTTCCGTGTCTTATCTTACATTTGCTTGTTCCCCAGACCTCCTCACACCTCCCTTTTTTGTATCCAGTTCAATTAGTTGGTTCACCAATTGGCCAACCATGCCCAGGAGAAAGGCCTCTGGTTTCTTCAGGAAGGTATATTTAAATACCTTTTTCATTTCATTATATATCATCTCCCAGAAAGCCTTAATCCTTGGGCACGTCCACCAAAGGTGAAAGAATGTACCTTCAGTTTCTTTACATTTCCAACATTTATTATCGGGCAAATGATAGATTTTTGCAAGCTTGACTGGTGTCATGTACCACCTGTATATCATTTTCATAATATTCTCTCTTAAGGCATTACATGCCGTAAACTTCATACCTGTGGTCCGTAACTGTTCCCAGTCAGCCATCATAATGTTATGTCCAACATCTTGTGCCCATTTAATCATAGCAGATTTCACCGTTTCATCCTGAGTATTCCATTTCAACAGAATCATAGAATCATAGAGTTGGAAGAGACCACAAGGGCCATCGAGTCCAACCCCCTGCCAAGCAGGAAACACCATCAGAGCACTCCTGACATATGGTTGTCAAGCCTCTGCTTAAAGACCTCCAAAGAAGGAGACTCCACCACACTCCTTGGCAGCAAATTCCACTGTCGAACAGCTCTTACTGTCAGGAAGTTCTTCCTAATGTTTAGGTGGAATCTTCTTTCTTGTAGTTTGGATCCATTGCTCCGTGTCCGCTTCTCTGGAGCAGCAGAAAACAGCCATTCTCCCTCCTCTAGATGACATCCTTTTATATATTTGAACATGGCTATCATATCACCCCTTAACCTCCTCTTCTCCAGGCTAAACATGCCCAGCTCCCTTAGCCGTTCCTCATAAGGCATCATTTCCAGGCCTTTGACCATTTTGGTTGCCCTCCTCTGGACACGTTCCAGTTTGTCAGTGTCCTTCTTGAACTGTGGTGCCCAGAACTGGACACAGTACTCCAGGTGAGGTCTGACCAGAGCAGAATACAGTGGCACTATTACTTCCCTTGATCTAGATGCTATACTCCTATTGATGAGGCCCAGAATTGCATTGGCTTTTTTAGCTGCCGCGTCACACTGTTGGCTCATGTCAAGTTTGTGGTCAACCAAGACTCCTAGATCCTTTTCACATGTACTGCTCTCAAGCCAGGTGTCACCCATCTTGTATTTGCGCCTCTCATTTTTTTTGCCCAAGTGCAATACTTTACATTTCTCCCTGTTAAAATTCATCTTGTTTGTTTTGGCCCAGTTCTCTAATCTGTCAAGGTCGTTTTGAAGTGTGATCCTGTCCTCTGGGGTGTTAGCCACCCCTCCCAGTTTGGTGTCATCTGCAAATTTGATCAGGATGCCCTTGAGTCCATCATCCAAGTTGTTGATAAAGATGTTGAATAAGACCGGGCCCAAGACAGAACCCTGTGGCACCCCACTAGTCACTCTTCTCCAGGATGAAGAGGAACCATTGATGAGCACCCTTTGGGTTCGGTCAGTCAGCCAGTTACAAATCCACTGAGTGGTAGCATAGTCAAGACCGCATTTTACCAGCTTCTTTACAAGAATATCATGGGGCACCTTGTTGCAATGCCTTGCTGAAATCAAGGTAGACTACATCCACTGCGTTCCCTTCATCTACCAGGCTTGTAATTCTGTCAAAAAACGAGATCAGGTTAGTCTGACATGACTTATTTTTCAGAAATCCATGCTGACTATTGGTGATCACAGCATTCCTTTCTAGGTGCTCACAGACTGTTTGCTTAATGATCTGCTCCAGAATCTTCCCTGGTATTGATGTCAGACTGACTGGGCGGTAATTATTTGGGTCCTCTCTTTTCCCCTTTTTGAAAATAGGGACAACATGCCGGGACTTCGCCTGTTCTCCAGGAATTCTCAAAGATGACTGCCAGTGGTTCTGAAATCACATCTGCCAGTTCCTTTAATACTCTTGGATGCAGTTCATCTGGCCCTGGAAAGTTATACATCCTTGACAAAGTCTTAGTTTTGGAATCTAACAGTTCAGGGCTTCTCATATTCAAATGGTGTCTACCAATAGCAGGACTTTCAGTATTTCAGTCCCTTTAATGGATGATTTATTGACTTCTGAGATGAGGCATGCTCCAACAATCTCTTCTTTCAGACACATGTTTAAGACTTTTATTTATTGTCCAGTGGTTGTCTTCTGGTGTTGTCTTCTACTGCTATTTTAACTGGATTATTTCTGATACATATTTTATACTTATTTTTGGTGTTCTATGCACTGCTCCGATATTTCTATAATATGAGTAGTTTATAAAACCATAAAGACAAATTAGAAGTCACTTGGTCCAATTTCCTGCCTCAAACCAGGTTGTTGAGATTTGAAATGAGAGTCTACAACTTTCACTAGCAACCATCACACTGCATGTATAAGATAAAGTAAAAGCAAACTGCAATCATAATATACTGTGAGCAGAAATCACGAGCAAGCAAGATTTGCTAGAACAGATGCATTGTGAGAAGAAAGGATATTTGCTTTTGATTAAGTGCATCCTGGGCAAGCTCCTCTACACAGAAGTAAACATAAGGCATACAGCCTAGAGAAATAAGGAAAGTCCTGCTGGCTTCAGCACCCTGTATCCTATAGTGGACCATCTGACGGGAAAGGGCCACAGTTCAGTGGCAGAGAGTTTGCATGCAGGCCCCCGTTTCAATCCCTGGCAGCTGGGAGAAAAAAACACTTCCTAGGTTCTCCTGGACTATCTTCTTTCTTTCTTTGGCGATCACTCGTAGTCGAGTAAGATTGTCTTCCATAAACACAGTTTTAACACTGAGTCCAATTCTGGATCCACACGTCCTTCCACAGTGGAGACATAGGTTTCAGGGCGGGAGTTGATCACAAGGGTTTGCCAAGTGCTCCCTTTTGCCCTGAGTTCAAGCGTCTTCACAAACTCTACATGCAGGGCAAAACAGCAACAGTTTGCCCTCCCAGAACCTGGAACTCAAAGACAAGCTCTCCCTTGACAGATGATAATTAAATTAAGCAAATTTGTGACTTTTCAGATTTATGTCTTTGTTGTCCGAGAGGACACCACAAGACTGTAGTAGTGACACCCAGTGGTATAATCCCCAGAGGGACACAGCAGATCCATCTGAACCATCTACCTCTCACTGAAGATGTGTCTACTTCCATGTCCTCCTCCCTGGCACTGGAGCTCAAAGGCTTGACATCCTCTTGATCCTCCTCCTTGAAAAGCCAGCCTGAGTGGGCCAGAGGAAGCTGAACTGGCTTGTTCCGGATGTCATTTTTCAAGCCTGGGTCATCAAGGAACTGGCACCAAAGGAACAGGAGAGAAAAAATGAATTAAATACTGAATGTTGAGGGAGCTGTTCTTGGTGGTGGGGTGTATGGGTGTGTAGCCAGACACCCATACCTACAGACAGACAGACAGATAAATAAATAAATAGAGAGGAGATATTTATATTAATATGGATGGGGACACATGAAAACATACATACCCACACCCTGTTGTGAATACAACAGTAAACAGGCTTGCTGAGCTTCTGATTTTTCTTAATATTTCATCAACAACTGACACATAATTGTGTAGAGAAATTAGTTTTAGAGAACAAAACATTTATTTAAAAGTGAACCTGTTGCACTATAAAACAAACAAACCTCACAGCAAAACAGGGCTAAACAATACTGGCACGGGGGTCTCATTATCACAAGCTTCCTAAACAACCCTCCCTAAGAGCTCCTTCCCTCATCTGGTGCTCCAACAAAGCTCTCAAAAAGGGATACACACAAAAGGAAGCCAACTGTGAGTGGAATTTTTTTAAAAATGAAATGGGGTAAGGAGTTTAGCGGGGAACATAGGGAGCTCCTGGTACCAAGTAGCACAGTATTATCCATGCAGTATTATGCCAGGGTTTCAGGTGGGGATCTGAACCAGGGACTGAGCCTGGGACCTTCAGCATGAAAGGTCTACCACTGAGCTATAGCCCTCCTGTGAAGCTGCAGTCCTTTCCCAAAAGGAGAGGTAGGAGAAAGAGTGTGTCAAAAATGGTTCCAAGGTTCCCTGCCTCAAAATGGGGAAGACCACAGCATCTATAACTGGGACATAGATTATGGGCTACATGCCATTTTTTGTCCTTAAAAGATTCAGCATAGACACGGCTGTCCCAAAATGCAGCCACCATCTAACTCACATCATCCTTCTCCAGCATGCGCAGGATCTGCTTGGTTTCCTCATCTGTCTCCCTTTTCTCTTTCTTTATGTTGATGATGTGGGATGGGCCAAAGTCAGACATATCCACAGTCTTATCCCAGGTGCCTGTGCCGAAAGAGAGAATGGCATGGCTGTAAGCAGAACACATCTCGAATGGCAAGTGGTAACTCGGCTATTACAGCGCCTTGAAGCTTGAACTTCCACAATTGAGAGCAACCTATGTGGTGAAGTCGACTGCTCAAGCCATTCCTTAAAACTGAAGCCCAAGAGGCCTGGTGCCTTCAGTTGTACAAGCAGAGAGAAAAGACAAGAACAGAGGGCTAGGGCGAAAAAAGATAGAAAGGCATGTTCAGAGCAAGAAACACAGTTCAAGCAGTTTTGCTTACCTTGGCAACCACTTTCCAAAATGAACTCCTCTATACAGCTATTGAAATACTCAATATACTCAAGAACCCCGAGTTCCCTGCATCTAGACACCCGGGGGGTGGGGGTGGAGAAAGATGGAACATATACAGTACAGTAAAAAAAAATAGAGCTGGGTCTCATGGTGCAGGTTAGGATTAATGATGAGCTTTAGGTGTGAAGGTTTTGAACTTCATTATTTTTTTAAAGCATTTTGACCTCCCACTCCACTTCAGATGAAAAGGCTAAAACTAAAAACAATAAGGCCCCTGCCTGCAGGCTTACAAACTAAAAAAAACACACAAAGGAAAATGAGATTTTTTTTGGGGGGGGGGAAACGGGACAAATTGAGGAACCAATTCTTAAAGTTAACCAGCAATACTTATGATGAAAAGAAGCCCACCAGGAAAAGAAAAAGACCAACAAAGTTGGCCTCTCAGCAGGGATGGTCGAGTGGTCCTGCTTCCTGTGTATCCCTCTGACCAAATGGTTGCTCTCAGGTGACAGTTGTGGGAGGGAAGGCCTGATGGATCTGGTCTCTCAGTAGAGTAGGCAGAATAGGCCCATTTCCCTTCTCTGTGGCAGCTAGATGGAAATAATTTCTGCCCAAAAGGACAGCTTATATAACCTTTCAAGTTCACCAAGATAACATCCACCATGGCTGATGTGTGACAAAGACGTGGGCCAATGGTTTTGCTGCATGTCCAGTTCACATGCATTTAAATCAAGCACCCTCTTTGCCGTGTGGTCAACAGCAATGTGTGCCTGCTCACTGCCAACATGCCTTCAGCTTTTGCTTTATTTTCCACAGCAGCCAGTTTTAAATATTTTATATTACTCTCAAGAGGATATGAAACAACAGAAAGCAGAAACCAAAGGTATCAACTCTTGCTGGTATTTTTGAGCACTGTTCTTAATTTCTATGGAAACACTATTTAATGTTCACAGAGTACTTTGTGACAGTTTACTCATAACATCTTTGTGAGGTATAAAGAAATATTCCTGTTTTACTGACTGGGATAATTCATACCGAGAGGCAGTGACTTGGCCAAAACTATCCCTGGGAGTCCGGAGATGAGGAAGGACTTGGAAATAAGTGTCTCAGGTTCAAGCCCAAATGCTAGATGCTGGGCCACAGAGGCGTGTTCACATTAATCTTCCACATACCTTTTTTCTTCATCATTTCTGCTGGACCTTGCTCAAAGATGGAATGAGACTGGATGACCTCTGGCCTCCCTCTGCCTCGTCCATGACCATCTCTCTGCCGGTCTCGATCACGCTCCTTCTTCTCTTTCTTGATGTTAATTTCCTCTTTTGGCCTAAGAAAAAGCAGACCAAACAGAATCACAAGAAAGTAAAAGTAGCCTGCCCTTGTTATGTGCTTCAATATATCCAGAAGACTCCTGCCATTTCTCACCAGTAGCTACAGGAGCGTCTGATGCCTTAATGTGTGAATAGGAGCCAAGTCAAATGTGCAGAAACAGCGCACAATATAGCTTTTCATACTGAAGATGGGGGGAAACCCATGGTTGAATCACTTACAAGGTTTTTGCGATTAAACGGTATACAAATGGTTAAATACAAATAAATAAATTCAATGTAACAAATTCCTGCATGTGGAAATATGTCAGAGAGACAGCTACTCTAAGACCATTTTCACATGTGCCAAGCTCTTTAACAGATCCCCCACCTGTAAATATGGCTCATAGGATACACTGCAGATAGAAGCTAGGAAAACTACACATTTGCACTAAATTATTATGCTAGGGTGGCACCCAATGCACTTGTTCTGTTAGCACAAGGCTTTCCACTTTTGCAATGGAACTTTTACTCCACTCAACCTTCTGCAAGTGCTCTCCCCACACCTGCTCCAGAGGTTTGGAGGAACACCCAGAACAGATTGAGGGTGCATCTGAGGTGGGGGGGGGAGTTCTATTGCACAAGCATAAACCCTTGTGCTGAGGGAGCAAGTCACTTAACCCTACTTTGGGTACAATCCTTATTTCCCCCAGATCTGGATTTACAACCTCTATAGTCACACTTCACAGACAACATAGCATGAGAAAGCTACTTACTCTTCTTTGATTTTCCTGCTAATTATGTTGGGAGCAAAGGTTTTCTGTAAAAAGTAAAAGTAAAAAGGTAAGCAAGTCATCAACTCAGGTGTATATGGTACTTAAGTTTGCAAAACACAGTGTGTGAAATTTCTCACAGAAAACAGTGTTGCAAAATCTGGTCTCAAAATATACTTAGGAGTCTCAAAATTGTGTATGTGTGAAGGGGAGACAAGTTTCTAGACTTCAAAGCTGCAAAATTTATATCTCGAAAAAAGGGAAATAATGTGCCTTTTCAAAAGCTCCAAGACGCAGAGAGGGTGACAGTTTTCTGGTCTGCATGGCTATTAGGCCCTCTCTGGTTTCTGACAATGTTTTCCATTTCCTCCTACCTTGAGTGCCTATTACTGAGATGTTCCTTTTCTCTGTCCAAAAGGAATTTCCAAAATCTGCAAACACCTTAGTATTAAGTTCAGAAGCAAGTATGGAAAATTGCCCATTATTGTAACTTTGTGTCACTCCATTTCCTCAGCACAGAGTAACCTTACCTTTAGGATTACTCATTTTCTATAGCACTTTTAAGAAGCAAAACACTTCACCATTTCCAAGCAGTTCTGCAAAGTGCAGCTCACTACAATTGTGGTTGTACATATTCCACAATTCTATTCAAGCAAAGAAAAGCTACAACACAGGCAAACCTTGGTTGTTGAATGTAATCCATTCCAGAAGCCCGTTCGGCTTCCAAATTGTTCGACAACCAAGGCGCGGCCTCCGATTGGCTGCAGGAGCTTCCTGCACTCAAGTGGAAGCTGCGTTGGGCATTCGGCTTCCAAAAAACGTTCAAAAACTAGAACACTTACTTCCAGGTTTGGGGCATTTGGGAGGTGAAACGTTCCAAAACGGAGGCGTTTTGTACAGGCATCCCCTCAACTTATGCGCGTTCTACTTGTGTGTGATGGCATATATGTGTGGTGCTGGAAAACAAATTAAATAAATAGAATCATGGCAGGGGAGGGCTGGAGAGTCCTTGTGACTCGCAAGGAGTCCCTCTCTGGAGCCCAAAGAGGACGTTAGCGAGGGCCAAGAAAGTCCCAAAGAGACCGGAGGCTCAGTGGGGCTTTGTTTGGGCTGCTCAGCCAAAGCTGACATGCGGGGCAGCGCAACAGCTGCCGCCACTGCTTTTCTACACATCCTCCAGCCAGCCTCAGAGCTTCAGCTCTGGTTGGAGAGAGAGTTGTGTGGAGAGATTGCTGGAAAGCAGGAAAAAACAGACGTTGGGAGGCTGCTACCCACTTTATGTGATTTCACTTATGCACATGGAGCCCCTGGAAAATAACCCCCACATGTTACAGTATTTGCCTGTACAGCATTTGCAATCCTGGAAGTCTCGGATTGCTTTCTCTTTGCAGAAGCAAATTCATTTATTACATATTTAAAGTACCATCGTTGTATGCCACCTTTGAGGGGAAAATCCTCCCAAGGTGGCTTACAAAAGATACCTAGTTTCATATATATAGCAGGATAATTTAGCTCCATCTAAACAGCAGGACTATTATGCTTCCACCAAACGATGTATAGTACAATCCAATTACAACACTGCCAGTCCAGACCCTCAATTATCTTCTTTATACTCTGCCACCTCTGATCTATTCTTCCATGATTATCTGTCAAGGTTATGCCCAACCCATATTCCGTCACCTCCCCCCCCCCCCCATCATCCAAGTCTGGAATTTGAACAGTTCTCCCTTTCAAGTATGGTTCTTAACTGTTATTGCTACCAAAAATGTAATTTGAAACAGGGAGTGGGGTGGGATTAAAACCAGTCTCTCAAGTCAGGAGGGCTGAGCAGGATTCCAGCCATGAGGTCCTTAGCGCTCCTCGTAGCTCTTTGCTCCCCTTATTCCCATAGCTAGCAAAAACAGAATAAACTTTGCAGACAACAGAGATCTATAACTGTATGTAATGTATACAGGAAAAAGGATTCCGGTTTTGAAAGAGATTTATGGTTGTCTAGCTGTTGAATTGTGATTGTAAAAAAGCAGAGCAGCAGCTCTGTTTTTCCTACTACTACAAAATGGAGGTTTGTAAACCACCCATCAAATTCAAAGGGATCTGAACTCGGGTGGAATTCAGCTAAGTTTTACTCAGAGTAGAACCACTACAATTAATGAACAAGGCTAAGTTAGGTCCATTGATTTCAATAGGCCTCCCTTGAATAAGACTTAGTTGACCAGCACTCGGACCACATGGGCTCTGTGCCAAAGAACAGGTTTCCAAAGTGCTCTGCCAGGCCCGCCAGGGGGGAATTTGAGACATACTATAAGCAAATCAGCAGCTAAGTCCTATTGGGCCCTACAGAACTGATGACAGGTATAGAGGTAGGATGCTGCTAACAAGCACTGACTAACCTACTTGTCTTTAAAACAAGATTCCACAAATTCATGGAGCATAAGGCTAAGTAATGGTTATTGGTTGTGATAAATAGAACCTTTACAAATACTAGATGCAGCAGAGGAAAAATAAAGTTTGTTGTGCCCATGCATTTGGACCAGATGATCATGAAAAGCAAATATGCCACACTGATGGAAGGCAGAGAGCTAGGACTATGACAGGGATGGGGACCTTGTGCTGATGAACTCCCAATGCCCGTCATCCCTGACCACTAGCCATGCTGGCTGGGACTGACAGAAGGCCAAAAACGTTTGGAGGGTCACAGGTTCCCCATCCTTGGAGCAGGGGCAGAGCTAGCTGCCCCAGCACCCGGAATTGCGCGAGGGTGGGGCTAGCCGCCTGCGCAGTGAGCGTCCCTAGTCGCCTGCCACCTGCGCAGCGAGCGCCCGGGTGGCGCGCCGCTAGCTGCCCATGACAGCATTGTCCCTAGCGGGGTACAGCCCGCGCAGCAAGTGTGGGGTGGGGTTGGGGGTGGCGCGGTGATGTCACCCACCCTCATGGCTGACACCCAGGGCGCACCGCACCCCCCGCACTTGCCTTCTTCCGCCACTGCCCTGGAGTATGGTATAGCTGTGCAGCCACAGGTGGCTACATGTTGGGCAGCGTATCTGTCTCCAAAGTAGGGCGGGGGGAGTAAAGGGAAGGAGAAAGATAAAAGCATGAGAATACGCATCAGAGGGGTTCTTGCTGATGTCACGATTCATGGCGCTAGCTCTCCTCTGCCCTCCGGGGCTGTGGGGAGGTTCAGGCAGGGGAAAGCCAGGATTTATGAGGTGAAATTCCTGGCAATGCCCCCCAGTGGGTTCTGGGGAATTCACTGCATCCCGCTGTGCCACTTAAGCCCGTGTCTGCCAATTTGAAAGGCAGAACGGGTGCGACCTGGGAGTGTGTCCCTGCCATGGACAAGCCTCCGCTCCCGGCATTGTTTGTGACTGGTTCCTCATTAATCTGGAATATTGGCGTTTAATCAAGAGGCGCTCCTGAAACAACATATGATAACAGGTTGCAATCAATCAGCTGCCGAAAGGGGTCTGGTTCTTTGAAGGTATTTGAATGTTTTTTCTAAAGTTTGAAATTCCTCACAACAGCTAGAAACGGAGGACAAGGCGCTTTATGCTTTTATATGGCTTTCAAATGGTCTCTTTTCTCTCTTGTCCTCCCCTGCAAAAATGCTGAGTAAGAAGACTGAGCAGCTGCTGCATAGATCTGATAAACGGCTGTCAGGGGTTCAGGGACAGAGGCACAGGTGAGGGAGGAGACGGAGAGCGAGGGGGAAGAATCCCAGGACAGCGAGGAAGAGGATGACAATGACTTGAGGGATTCCATGAGTCTTTCAAGTGAATCGGAGGATTCCCAGAAGGGGGCGCCTGTGGTCAGGCCAAGGGGAGTCACAGGGGGGACTCGTCAGGAGCAGGGGACCAGCGGGGGAACCCAAAGTGGGAGCTGGGAGTCAGGACCGGCTTCTCCGCCAGAGCGCAGTGAAGGGGGTGGAGATTCCAGAGTGACAGGGGAAGCAGGTCCGAAAGCAGAGAGGGAGGGGAGATCGGAGCAAGACATCCTCCCGGAAAGGGAGGGGAGTAGTGCAGGGAGTAGTGTAACTGTCAAGAGGAAGGTTAGAGGTTGCGAACGCGCGCCAAGTTCAAATGTGGAGGCGCGCGGAAGAACAGGGAGCCCGGAGGAGGAGCCAGGTCCCAAAGCACGCAGGAGGGGGGAAGAGCTGTCTGGGGATTCAGCGTCAGGGGAATCCAGGAGGGGCGAAACCCCAGGGGGCAGGAAGACCCTGCGGAAAAGGAAAGAAAGGAAGAGGTGGAGCAGCTCAAGCCTCTTAAACTGGTGCAGAGGAGGGACTGACTCAGAGGGGACTTCAGCGGTCTAAGCATAACAGACGTGGGGCTGCGCGCCTCGGCTGTGGAGCGTACAATGCACTGCAATAAACATCTTTGTATATAAACTGGACTTGGCGTTGGTCTCTTGTGAGCTGGGACCTGGGGCAGCCCTGACAACGGCTGTACTTGGAAAAAAGGTTTTGTCTGTAACTGTCCGCTGAGGAAGAACTCCAGAGTGGAATTTTAATTGTAAGAGTTGCTTTGTTCTCTGCAAGTTATTTATAGCCACAGCCTGTGTCTAAGTGGTCAACAGCGGAAGTGGGAATGTGGTCTTGTAAACATTGCACCCTGGGACCTTAGATTGATTGTGCAGCAAAGAATGGACAGACAATATTCAACTCTCCCAGCACACTAGGTCTGAGACAACATGAAGATTATGCAGGACTGCACACGTTAAATAGATTTTATATTTATAAGAGATGACAGAGGTGCTGCATGTGAGGAGGAAAATATGGCTTGCTGCAAGAATGGACAACAACAAGTAATAGATGAAATGGAAATAAAAGATGAGAAGATGTGGAAACAGGAGGAAGAGATGGACATATGTCTGCAACAGGAGTGGGAAACCTGATTTTAATAAATTATATAAAATTAAAGTAATTTGGATGGATTTGTAATAATTTGGAAAACAAATAATAATAAAAAAGAGAATTGTTGTTGTTGTTTAGTCATGTCCGACTCTTCTTGACCCCCTGGACCAGAGCACACCAGGCACTTCTGTCTTCCACTGCCTCTCGCAGTTTGGTCAGACTCATGGTGGTAGCTTCGAGAACACTGTCCAACCATCTCGTCCTCTGTCGTCCCCTTCTCCTTTTGCCCTCCATCTTTCCCAACATCAGGGTCTTTTCCAGGGAGTCTTCTATTCTCATGAGGTGGCCAAAGCATTGGAGCCTCAGCTTCAGGATCTGTCCTTCCAGTGAGCACTCAGGGCTGATTTCCTTAAGAATGGATAGTTTGGACTTCTTGCAGTCCATGGGACTCTCAAGAGTCTCCTCCAGCACCAGAATTCAAAAGCATCAATTCTTCGGCGATCAGCCTTCTTTATGGTCCAGCTCTCACTTTCATACATCACTACTGGGAAAACCATAGCTTTAACTATACAGACCTTTGTCGGCAAAGGTCTGTATATAGGTCAACTATACAGACACTGCCTTGTCGTGGCGAAGGGGCTTGAATAACTCAGAGAAGCTATGAGCTATGATGTGCAGGGCCACCCAAGATGGACAGGTCATAGTGGAGAGTTTTGACTAAACGTTATCCACCTGGAGCAGGAACTGGAAAGCCACTCTAGTATCCCTGCCAAGAAAACTCCATAGACAAAGACACCAGGCATATAAAAAGAGAGAATACTTATCAGGAATACTCTGCTGCAGTGTCTGGGATTTTTCCTGACCAAGGATTTACACCTTAGTTAGAGGTGAATATTGATCATGGTGTTATACCTCAGGAGGTACTGACATACAGTCCAAGGGCCAAATGGGAGAATTAATCACTATATAGCCATTGACCAGTCACCCTCTTATGTGCTCAGTTCTCTTCATCTGCAAGATGGGAACAGCAGTGAGTGTCTGCAACAGTAGTAAAGCAAGCATGCTGTCCTGCATATCATAGGGACCAGCATTGGTGTTGTGGCTCTCAGAAGAAAGGCTTGAGTACAGCATGAACTATAATAAGACACTCAGGTATCTGCCAGCTTCCTGGGCAGGTGTGCTAATTAAGTCTTACATTCTGGAAAGGCACTCCAAATATTTGGCTCCTTGATAATCTTCTTCCCACCTTGCTTGGCACCCTTTCCTTGGTTTATCACAGCCCAACAGGTGTTCCATGTAGGTTTGTCATTTGAACACCACCCTACACAGAAGGACCAAAATATCTAACTAACCTCCCAGAAAAACAGTACCAACAGGAATAGTAAGGTGTGCTGAGAAGCAATATGGAACTAGTTGGACAGCATTTCAAGCTCAGAAAATACATAGCTGGACTGATGGAATTTGTAGTCCAAACCACAGATTTGGGAAGGCTGCTATACAACTTCCTAGGAGGTTTAAAAAGCAACTTGTCTTTCACACTCCAGGACCAATGAGTGGAAAATTTTCCAGTGCTTTATTTTTCTGTGGACATTTTTCCATTTCATAAGTTCATTAGTAACAATAAATTGTATTGCCAATTGCAGTACAATTATTAGGCATGCTTGACAGTTTCAAAGTTTTTAGATTTGTTTACTAAATAAAAGTAAAACAAGCATGCTAAATTAGATCACTCTCTTGGGCATCTGAAAATGCAAACTAATTTTTCTTTTCTGATGCAAATTATCCTATGCACATTTCCAGAAAATTTTCTGGAGTGCAATGAGTGCTGTAAGTGAATACAGGAATTACTGCACCAGCCATGACCTGACACTCCTCCTTTTCATTACATTCAAATCAAGAGAGAGAAACGACAAAGTTATTAATCTTAACAAAACATCTTGGTATGCAATAAATCAGTTCCAGGAATCAAACCAAATTCCTTTCATATGGAAGCTATTAGTACAGTACATACAATTCCCTCATAAAACTCTTGCCAAATAGGTCATTTTAACCATCATAATGACCTTCCAACTTGCCTTAATGGTTATGCTTTAGTTGGCAATATGTAAATCTCTTTTTTTGTCAATACATTCACTATCAATTCCAGATTGAACTGAGCTAGATCTTTCAGATAACCCACAAGTTTTAGAGTTTGCTGGAAGCGCACTTCTGGTTTCAACCCTGAGGTTTTCAAACTTTTCACCTTCAGAGAAAATTCCACATTAAGTCATCTGCCACAGAAGCCATGCATGCTGTAGAAGAGTCTGAGGCACGTTCTAACATGCACAATTGGTTGATAATAGGCCCTGCCTGGCAAACCAGACCTCACACCACTCTTTGCAAAGTAAATGTGCACTTTAGAATACACTCAATATTCCCTTGCAACTTATGGCAAACTGATCATGGTGGGTAAAATGTTTTTTCAATAAACTATTTTTCCCTGATAAGTTCCCAAGGAACTGCAGGGTTCCTGAAACATGGTTTGAAAACCACTGCTTTAAATCTGAGTCACATTTTCCAACAGTGATGATGACCTGTTAATATGATTTAACCTCCTATACATAAAAACCACCTGTATAATATTTTGTAGAAACAAAACAAAAAATATTTTTATTTAAAACAACAGTACAGCAAGGATCATGATGTAGTATGTATAACCTCTTCTTATCAAACTACTTCAGTATATTTAAGAACACAAGTTGTATTGTGTCTGACTGTGCTAATCATCCACTACAGCTGCAAGCCTATACACACTTATCTGGACCTTACTGAACTTAATTGGTCTTATTTCTGAGTAGGCATGTATTGGACTGCATAGGAAGCCCAAAAGGCAGTCTGGCATTATTTGGAATCTGATGGCTCAGAGGAGGTAAACCACATTATTGGGTAAACCACACATTGTTTATTGTTTATTCTGAGTTTCCTGCAACCAGAAAGGTTAAAAATTCCATTAGGTAGGAATTTCAACATTAAATTACGGACTGATTAAACCTACTGTTGAAATAGGTAGATACACATTACTCCCACTTCCTAGATAAGGAAACAAAACATAGTAAGAATCAATAACTTGCTGAAGGCCAGAAGGGAACACTGTGCCATGAATTAGAATCAAGGGTTCCAACTGCTAGCCCTCTGCCCTAATCCCTTAACAACATGGGAATTTCCATTCCAGATCAGAAAATAACATTTTTCAGTCTCTCTTATACCTGCATCCTAGAAATGTGTGTGTGTGTGTGTGTGTGTGTGTGTGTGTAGAAAAGGGAGTATCTTACAGGGTTTTTCCTTAAACATTAAACACTTACCTTTTTAACTCCACCAAGAGTCAGGTCTCTGGAGCGAATGGAGGGCAGTCGGCCTGGCGTAATTGGGGCAGTGGTTCTTCTCCCTATCAACCCTCGTGCAGCACTAAGCGTAGGCCGGATGCTGCCACCAGGATTCCCAGTATCGTTACCTGAGGTTCCTTCTGACATCTTGAATGACCTGCCAGAGGAAAGGTCAACAAAAGCTCTTCTTAACTCTTATTTCCAAACCATGACACTTTCCAAACCATGCCATACTGTTGAACAAAAGTTTCATTTCTAAGGGCAACCTGAATTGCAACCTGAGAGAACAAGGGAGAAGCAACAGAATGTTAAATGCAACCAAAGCCCTCAAGAAGAAGCCTTTGGCAAACTACAGAGCTGGTGCAATGGGTAAGAGTGCAAGCTATGAGCTGAAAATCCTATGCCAAATCTAACCTTGGACATGAGTTTTACAGGGGCCTTAAGGAAATCATTGTGTGTCAACCTCAGCCCTTCAATCTAGAATATGAGCATAAAGATAAAATACTTGACAAGCTTTGAGCACTTAAGTTTTCTATGCTCCTGGTTTGGTGCCTTCGCATGCATGGATGAGCAAGTAGCAATGGAAACAGAGTGCTCTTTTTCCTCATTAAAGAGCTTCACAATTTCCCTCCGTCTGCCATAATTATGACTGGATGATCAGTGCAAGTTCTGCATTGATGTTATTTGGGAATGCCAAGCATCCCCTGACTCCAGGTGGGGTGAGGGGTGATGACGTACAGGTAGAATAGCTTCAAAACAACACCAGCACCCCTGAACTGCTACACATCCTATATATTTAGAGCAAGGGTAGGCAACCTAAGGCCCGGGGGCCAGATCCAGCCCAATCACCTTCTAAATCAGGCCTGTTGACGGTCTGGGAATCAGTGTGTTTTTACATGAGTAGAATGTGTGCTTTTATTTAAAATGCATCTCTGGGTTATTTGTGGGGCACAGGAATTCGTTCACACACACACCCAATATAGTCCGGCCCCCCACAAGGTCTGAGGGACAGTGGACCGGCCCCCTGCTGAAAAAGTTTGCTGACCCCTGATTTAGAGCCTTTCGTGACCTGTCTGTTGGTATCTATGAGTCAAGGCCTCAGTAAACATTACTACAATACATACTCCTGGAACTTAAGTTACTTCTCATGTCCATCAAGGGCTAGTATTGCTTTCAGTATGTGGGTGACCCCTGAAAAAATTAGTCTGCATTGATTTTGGGCTGCTTCAGCCTATGGAAAACCAGTTGTGTGCAGCTGCTGCCTTTCATTTCTAACATATAGCCACCAAAGCTTCTTAAATTAGGGCTACCAGTTGATACAAAGACCATATCCAGAACATGGCAGCAGATGCACAGTGGGGATCTCACAGACTCCATGCAGGCAGCATAAAACATTCTGATGTAACAACAGCAGCAGCACCACATACATAAAACTATGCGAGACACAGAAACACCGACCCTTGGTGGAGTCAAAAAACCAAAGTTCTGCCATGCTCGGGTGCACTGGTCTTCAACTGGTGGGTCAGGGCCCACTTCCAGGTTGCAGCAGTGCCACTGTGCAAATATAAGGAATTCAGAAAGGGATCCCCAAATGCAGCTAAAAGGTGAGTCCTGGGTCTGAAAATCTGAGCTAGATGGACCTCCAGTCTGATTCAGCAGAAGGCAGCTCCGTCTCTCATCCATCATTGAGATTACCAGGGCTAGACAGCAAAGTTGCCCCCATCTCAGCAGAATCCCCAGATTTCACCCTGACTCCTTTACATTCTACCTCAGGAAGCTGCCTTACACAGTCTGTCCAGCATTGCCTACACCAGCCTTCCTCAACCTCGGCCCTCCAGATGTTTTGAGACTACACTTCCCATCATGCCTGACCACTGGTCCTGCTAGCTAGGGATCATGGGAGTTGTAGGCCAAAAAATATCTGGAGGCCGAGGTTGAGGAAGCCTGGCCTCCCGACTGGAAGCAGGTCTCTTTGCCAGGCCAGCTCTCCCTGGACATGCCAGGGATTGAACAGAGGACCTTTTGCATTCAAAGCATATGGCTGCCACCCCCCTCCACGTGAATGGTTGCCCTTAATTCATAAATCGACCTTGGGTGCACCACAGTGAGGAGCACAGAGTTTGTCTATTTTTTAAATAGTTGCAGGAAGAGTTGCAATCTAAGCCGGTGGCCACCACTGGATCTTGTGGCAGTGAGTTCCGCAGTTCAACCATGCCTGGAGCACTTGGTCCTTCCTGAATCCCTTCCTAGCCTGTTCCTGCGACGACCCTTAATCCTCGTGGAGATCCAGCCTGGCGTGGCATGAAGTTAGGGGGGGGGGTGCCCCTCGGGGCCTGGCTGGGGGCGCAGGCCGCTGCTCAGCCCGAAACCCGCGGAGCAGCTTGGCCCCCCAGGGCACTTGGCCCGCCGCCTTGAGCTCCTCGCGTGGAAACACGAGGCGGCGGCGGCGGCGGAGAAGAGCGGAGGCAGCAGGAAAAGCTCCTCTTCCTCCGCCCCGACCCCCTAGTCCGCCACACGGGCTCCTGCCCCCCATCGAGGCGCCCGCCTCGCCTCCTCCACCCCCGAGAAACCGGCCTCTCGGCCCCCGACGCACCCGAAGCGGCCGCCTTCCCTCGACCTCCCGCGCGGCGCCCTTCGCGGCTCCTCAGGCGCCGCCTCGGCAAACAGGCTGCGGCGCGCAAGCGGCGTCCATCTTTGAGAAGGGCGCTCGCGTCGCTACGTCCCTGGAGGGATTAGTGGGGGGAGCGCGAACCCGCCATTTTTGTCCCGGGCAGGGGTTGGAAGTTTCGTATACTGCACTGTAGTAGTTGCTTCTCCGAGGAAGGGGAGGCGACGGAGCCTCCATCTTTGTTGTGGGCAGGGCTTTCTGACTTTGTAACGTTGCTGCTCCTACGAAGGGAAGGCCACGACTCCGCCATTTTTGTAACGGGCGTTTCAATTTAGTTTAATTTAAGGTTAGTGATATACTGTACAGTATATCTCTAGCGACAGTGTGAGGAAAATTAAGCTGAGGAGAGTTGGGACTTGTTGGCAAGCCACATAATAAGCACTGATGAGGAATGCAACGTTACGGGGGTGTTAGAGAGACACGTGCAGAACGAGTCTCGCGGGAAGCAAAGGCCAGGAGGGGCTATTCAGCGTTAGTGTTTCTTAGCACAAATCCTCTGACATAGTCGGCGCTAGGAAGCCCCTGACGTCCCTCTCTGCCTCTTCTCTCTACCTCATGTGCTATTTTATACATCATTTTCAGAGGTCACCAGCGCCCGCCAACCGAGAGAGAAGCCAGAGGCTGTTTCTTAATAAAATAATGTTTCTGATTCCACCTCGGAAGTTTACTTAAGCTCTCACAAGTTGGTTTTCAAATATAAACTCATTGCGCTTAGTATTAAGTGCAAACAGTAAATCATCTTTTAGACTGATGTGATGCTTCTGTTGGAGAGAAAAATAGGAAAATTTAAAACTGGTGATAAATGCAGGACTTTGAGGGGCAGGAACTCTTCCAATAAATTATTCTGCTCAGGCTTCTTTGTTAACACACAAAGTGAAGTTATTTTTTAAAACTGGCTCCACATTTACAAGAGGCTTTAGTAAGCAGGCTATTCTCACTAGTCAACTGAAGGAAAAATGAAATAATTAAGAGCCATGATGCTACATCAATGCAATGAGATTTATCCATTTATTTAGAATTTTCTACTGTTTTATCCTAGATGCCCAGGACAGGAAGCAACACAGATGAACATTCTGAAGGCAGAGAAATGGCAATTCTATGTACCCTTACATGGGATGAGACCCACTGGCCCCACTGAAAAGTACTCCTAAGTGAACATTCATAGAACCAGGCAGCACAGCAGCAAATACCATAATAAGATAATATACGTGAAAGCTCTTTTTGCATCTGTCTTATTCATGCTAACTTAGGAGTAAGTAGCTAGAAGATGATTAACTTGCGGAGGAACTAAATGACATCACTGAGCACATCCATGAAAAGATGTGCACCACTGCATAGCTGCATGCTCACTCAGTCATCTGCACATGGGTGTTCCAAGGTGCTATTCATGGATGATCAAAAGGAAGCTGCCAATTGTAGATACTGCCCTGAGTCTAACAACTGGTGGTTGAAGGAAGTTCAAGGGCCAGGACAAATAAACTACCTCTTGGTAACATCATTCTAGCTGCCTGTGGTTTTCTACTTGACATGCAAAAGTGTGAGCTCTTGAGGTGACTTGACTGCTCGGTTAAATGCTTAGCTCCATTTACAATTGCAACCCACAGCTCATCTATTCCAGAAAAGCCCTGTTGATCTTAATGAAACTGCTCTAGAGCAGGGGTGACTAAACGTTTCCATCATTGCTCCTTCAGGGGCTGTGCGCTAAGTGGTGGACGTGGCCAATAACTGGGTGTTGCCACTCACCCTCTCTCACACCAAGGCGTGTCCTAGAGTCTAGAGTAAGCAAGATGGTGCCAAGCTATATCCCTCTGTCATGTGAGCCAAGGGAAGCCATGCAGGTCTTGGGCCACTATCTGGTCATTTTAATGAGCTGTGGGCCAAGAAAATGAACATTAATCCAGATACTCTGGAGATTCTGTGACATAGAAATTTTCAAGGTCTGGGAGTTAAACGACCTGTTGCAAATGGGACTTGCACAAGCCCTGGAGGAACAGATCGTAGTCTGCAGTGCTCCTATATTCATCTTTGTCACTGGAGGCGCAAGCGTCACAGGGGCTGAGAGTGTCCCTCCCAAAAAGACCAGAAGCCTTTTTATTAGGGATAACGGGAACAGATGTCCCCACAAAACAGGTAAATCTATTTTTTTATGCAGCAACAGCAGCACAAACATTATACTGTATGCACAAAAATAGCATGAAGAGGCAGTAACTACTAAAGAAGAATGGCAGCTGAAACTGACAGAATATGTAGAATTGGTAAGTTTGACTTGCAAAAATAGAGATAAAAAAGAGACTGACTTTAAGGAGGACTGGAAATGTTTGTGGATTATTTAAAAACTCTGAAAACAACTTGGATTTGAGTAAGAACAGCAGTGGAAAGTATCATGGAGGGGTTTTTTTGTGAAGAAGAGTAATTATAATATGCAGCAAAAGTTGGAATTTGGGGAAACCATGGAGGGATGGAGGGGAAGTCCTAGGTTGGCTGACTGAATATTAAATTTGAAATGTTGAATTATTATGTATTTTCCAAATTTCTATAAATAAAAAGGGGCTGGGAATGTAAGCCAGAACGCACGGAATGCTGTTTACCTTCCTGCCATGGCAGTACCTATTTATCTACTTGGTATGCTTTCAAACTGCTAGGTTGGCAGAAGCTGGAACAGAGCAACAGGAGCTCACTCCATTGCAGGGATTCGAACTGCCAACCTTCCAATTGGCAAGGTCAAAAGATTCAGTGGTTTAGACCACAGTGCCACCCGCATCTCTTCTGTTGTATTAAGCCAGCCCCCACCTCTGACTGCAGGGACAGGAAGAGAAAACCCCAGCTCCAGCCCTGGACAGCTACACTCCTGTGGCCAGAAGGATGGCAAGGGGCTCGGCTGCAGCTGCACCCATATCCTCATAAGGAGCAACACCTGCAAGTTGACCTTAAGAAATTCAAAATATGTATATTAAAATACAGGTCAGCTTCACAAGCAGGCTTGCCTAAACAAAAAAGTTTTCAGCAGGCACTAAAAATAACACAATGAAGGTGGAGTTCCAGTGTGTAGTTGCTGCCATGCTGCAAGATTGATTCCTTACAGGTGTGAGATGAACATCATGTGACAATTGTACAAGTGTCAGTCCCATGGATTGATGTGGCCAAGGAAGCACATATGGGACAAGGTAATCCATGCAGGAGCTATCCATTTGTGCAATAACCAGAGAGGTCCTTTTCTGATGTGTCCCTTCAGTTGTGGAATTCCCCTGTGTCAGGACACAGAGGGCACCATCTCTCTCTCTTTGCTTTCTGGTATCTGCTCAAAACATGGTTGGTGTTCAGTTTGGGATGTTTATAGATAGGCTCTGTAGTTATACATTGGTTGGTTGGTTTATGTTGCCATTATGTATAGCTTTAAAATAATAATAATGATGATAACTGTAGTATTAGTAAAATTTATATTTTATTCTATCTAGACTAAGCAGGATATAAATGTTGTACATAAATAAATAGCAGCCTCTACTCCATATGCAACAAAAAGAGTTATGGGGTAGATGAACTTCATTGCCACATAACGGAAACCAGCAGCACTCTTTTTCTAGAAAAAGAGGTGCCAGAACTCATCATGAACACCTCCCTTGCTCTCTTATTATGGCAATAGTGCTCACCTGAGAGGTGCCAGAACTGAGTTCCTGTGAGTTCCAGCTGAAAAAAGTTCTGGAAACCAGATACATTCATAGAATCAGAGTTGGAATAGACCACAAGGGCCATCGAGTCCAACCCCCTGCCAAGCAGGAAACACCATCAGAGCACTCCTGACATATGGTTGTCAAGCCTCTGCTTAAAGACCTCCAAAGAAGGAGACTCCACCACACTCCTTGGAAGCAAATTCCACTGTCGAACAGCTCTTACTGTCAGGAAGTTCTTCCTAATGTTTAGGTGGAATCTTCTTTCTTGTAGTTTGGATCCATTGCTCCGTGTCCGCTTCTCTGGAGCAGCAGAAAACAACCTTTCTCCCTCCTCTATATGACATCCTTTTATATACTGTATTTGAACATGGCTATCATATCACCCCTTAACCTCCTCTTCTCCAGGCTAAACATGCCCAGCTCCCTTAGCCATTCCTCATAAGGCATCGTTTCCAGGCCTTTGACCATTTTGGTTGCCCTCCTCTGGACACGTTCCAGTTTGTCAGTGTCCTTCTTGAACTGTGGTGCCCTGAACTGTACACAGTACTCCAGGTGAGGTCTGACCAGTGGCACTATTACTTCCCTTGATCTAGATGCTATACTCCTATTGATGCAGCCTAGAATTGCATTGGCTTTTTTAGCTGCCACGTCACACTGTTGGCTCATGTCAAGTTTGTGGTCAACCAAGACTCCTAGATCCTTTTCACATGTACTGCTCTCAAGCCAGGTGTCGCCCATCTTGTATTTGTGCCTCTCATTTTTTTTGCCCAAGTGCAATACTTTACATTTCTCCCTGTTAAAGTTCATCTTGTTTGTTTTGGCCCAGTTCTCTAATCTGTCAAGGTCGTTTTGAAGTGTGATCCTGTCCTCTGGGGTGTTAGCCACCCCTCCCAGTTTGGTGTCATCTGCAAATTTGATCAGGATGCCCTTGAGTCCATCATCCAGGTCGTTGATAAAGATGTTGAATAAGACCGGGCCCAAGACAGAACCCTGTGGCACCCCACTAGTCACTCTTCTCCAGGATGAAGAGGAACCATTGATGAGCACCCTTTGGGTTCGGTCAGTCAGCCAGTTACAAATCCACTGAGTGGTAGCATAGTCAAGACCGCATTTTACCAGCTTCTTTACAAGAATATCATGGGGCACCTTGTTGAATGCCTTGCTGAAATCAAGGTAGGCTACATCCACTGCGTTCCCTTCATCTACCAGGCTTGTAATTCTGTCAAAAAACGAGATCAGGTTAGTCTGACATGACTTATTTTTCAGAAATCCATGCTGACTACTGGTGATCACAGCATTCCTTTCTCGGTGCTCACAGACTGTTTGCTTAATGATCTGCTCCAG